CCTCTGATACCCGCTGGAAGCATGATCTGAGGCAACTCCACGAGCCACAGCGTCTTGACAGCTGTCAGGCAGCAGAATCCCATCGGCAATTCGCGAATCTCCGGGCAACGGATCAGAAACAGCGTTTCCAGTGACGAGAGACGACACAGGGATTGAGGGAGATCCGCGAGTGGAAGGTGCTCCAGAACCAATGTCTTTAGGGCAGTCAGGCATCCGAAGTCTTCGGGCAGGCTGAATAACCCTTTACAGCTGGAAATCTTTAGAAGTTCGAGACGGGTTAAGGAGAGAAGCTCAAGCTCTTCAGGCAGCTGCGCATGGATAGAGTATTGATCCAGACTTAGAATGCGAAGAGATGGCAAACAGCGTGGCAACGTCGTTAGGAAAACGCTCGAGTTCCCCACAGTTGGTGATCCATAGCTCTTCGAGAGTGGTGCATGGCGAGCCGGAAGGAAACAGTCGGTCGAATCGAGGACAGCTATCCAAGAATTTCAGTGATGTCAGGAAAGGAAACTGTGCGATGGAAAACGAATAATCGGTAGAATCGTTACGATAGCAGAATGCATCCGGAAGTGAAAGGCTAGTTAATCCACTTAAGGCAGTGAGGTTGACGAGGTCCTGAAAAGCCATTCCTGTAACGGAAATGTCCAGAACGGTCAGTGAAGATAACTCCACAAGTTCCTGGCGTCTACATAACGAGTCACTCTGGAAAATAGCAAGAGTGTGAAGACGGCTTAGTTGAAAAAACGATGCTGGCAGGACCGTCTCGTCATGGACACAGGAGAGATTAAGCTGTTCCAGTTGAGTGCACCGCCGAAATAAAGCATCCAGAGAAGATGTAGCTAGAGGCTGCACATCCTCCCTATCACCACCCGCGTACAGTTCTTCCGAGTCGATGGATAAGCCAAGAATTCTCAACTTAGGACATGACGAGGCGAGGTGATATAAGAACTCGTCGTTTATCGTTCCTAAGAAGACATTGCTGACTTCAAGATGAGTTAGGTTCGGGAAGCAAGTGATAGCGGTCATAATCTCCACGCGGGACACTAAAAGGTCGTCTTTAAGGCTGCCTTTGACAACAAGTGTGGAGACGTAGCGCCGAGCGAGACGGCGCCAGCGACGGCAGACTGAAGCGATGAGCAGACTAAAGGCGGCGTTTGCGGAGACAGGAAGGGCCGGTAAAGGACCCTCGTTGAGTCTCAGCGTTTCGCGTTTTGAATGGAGGTATCTCGGCCTAGTACCACAGCAAGTCCACACAGCGTCAATGTTAGGTTGGTAACGAATTGGCTGATCGGTCTGCCAGAAGATCTTCACTAGAAGTTCGTCAGATAAATCATTGATCTGTGTGCGAGACATCTCTATTCTTTAGACCACAAAAACAGTCGGCAAAGACTAGGAAAAGAAGGAGCAGCTGGGTGAACGAAAGTGGCTTTTGATGAAACCCGCGCTCGCTCCATCCATGGCTGGCTACAGTAGTTTCTCCTGCTCTGACTCTCCTTTCAGTTGACTCGTATCATACCAGACTGGACGGTGGAGTTTTGAACTCAAGGTGGCGTTCGTCGTTGTGCGACCTCTGATGTTGTTACTGAGTCACGAAAGCCTCCAGCCGCTTGCCTCGCGAGAGGCTGCAAATGCCGCATTCTGGTTAGCTGCTGGTTGGCGAATCTCTGCGCTTCGCGAAGCAAATGCTTGACCGTTTCTCTTTCCAAATATACGAAGGGAGCCACAGCTGCCAGCAGGAGCTACACTGTATGAATTATTCATCTTAGGCACTAATCTAGGACAGGACAGTCTTTCAGTCCTCGGTTGGAAAGTGTCACATTGAGCCACTATGTGTCACATCCCCAAATCTTTATGCCCTACGTCATCCTTGTTGCACTATTTGTCACAGCAAGACAATGCACTGGCCAGCTCGATGACACACGCAGCACAACACGAACCGAGAGTCCAGCTCACGATTACCTGTGAGCCATATTTGTCATCAACATGCTGACGGCCTCTCTCTACCACACTTCCCCTACAGACTTTCAGACAATAGAAACCAATGAAGGTGAAACCAATGCCATGTCACACAAACCCAAGCTGCAATGATGACGATGGAAATGCAATGATGACAATGAAAATGCAATGATGAAGAAATGACCTAGCACGTAGCCCATGACAATGAAATGCACCACTTCAGCCACTGCAGTCAGTCACTTACGACAACCCAGGCAAGCCCTTATGATGGAGCCACCACTGCAACCCCTCCTCCTTGCCCCCCTCCTCTACTCCCTCCTGTCCGTCCCTGTCCCCCTCTTCTCCCCCTTCCACCACCGCTTGACGACCATCCCCCCTGCCCGGCCCCACTCACCCCATCACCTCCCCCTTGCCCCTGCTGAAACCCCTGCATCCCCTGTAACCCCTGATTCTGCTGAAATCCTTGCCCCTGAATGGCCTGCCCGGTCAACCCCTGTCCCTGCTGCATTGCCTGTCCCTGCCCTTGCCATTGTCCCTGCCCCTGCACCTGCTGCTGCTGACCGCGAGAACCGAACCCTGACCCCCCACGCCCGCCCCTGTTGCTCACAACTCCAACAATCCCACCAGCAACGGCACCGGCACCAGCAGCACCTGCAGAACCACCAACGCCAGCACCACCAACACCAGCGCCACCAGCAGCAGCACCGGTGAAGTTGCTGCTGCCGTCGCGGAATTGGCGATCCGAGCCGCCCCGACCGCCTCCCGTACGACGATATGAGCCTGGGAGGGGAGGGGGTGGGGGGAGAGAGAAAAGAAGAAGGAAATGAAAATGAAAGTTCTAGGTTCCTGAAGTAGTCCTGGAGTTGCCAGCACCGACACCACCAACAACAGCACTACTGGTGCCACCAGCACCAGCAGCACCACCGACAGCGCCGCCACCGCATCCCAGAACTCGCCTTGGCCCGTGCGTGTCACCTTAGTCTCCCCACTCTTCGCAATTTCCCACCATGATCATTTGTTTCTAACCATGGACAACCAAACGACCCACCAACTTTTTATTTAGATATCCCTTCTCCCCCACCCCCCCCCCCTTCCACCCCTTTTTTTAAAAGCCCAGAAAGCTCACCTCGGCCCGTACTAGTCGCCTTCTTCTCCTCGATCTTAACTTGGAAATTCCCCACCATGATGGTTTGTTTCTGTGCGTGGGCAAACACAAGACGGGTTAAGCAGTTAAGTTCTCTCTTTCAAGACTTGAGATCTCCAAAACAACACACACCGTAAAGGGTTTAAGCAAAGAAGTTTCAACCAAGAATGGACAGAAGCAAGCAGAGCAGAGAGCGGATCCACAGCGCACAAAGCCTCAACAGAAAGTACGCACGACAAACACCGCCCAATAACAGTCAAACACCCTATCATATGCTCAAGCCTGAAGCCCTAAACCCAAAACGCCTCTTCCACTCTCATCTACAGCCTTTTTGTGAGTCGTCTAAAACATAGACGTTAGAGGCACGGAACACGATCCATCAACCAACACCTCTTCAGCCACAAACCCAAGAGCCCGTTTGCTAACCTCTACTGCCGCTTGTGCTGCTGCAGCTTCCTCAAACTCCACAAACGCGTACACTGTAGCGGGGTTGTTGGCCTGAAGGAGAAAGGGTACAGAGAGATTGGCAGCACAGGAGGATTTTAACCTTAACTGCCAAGGCCAAGGAGATTGCAGAGCACTTGAGCCAGTTTGGATTGGAATGGCCTGTCCAAGGGCCAAGGGGCACTGAGAGGATCTTACCTTTTCCCTGATCAGGCAACAACCCCATACCGTATTTTGAGACGTCACAGATTTTGAGACGTCACAAATTTTGAGACGTGCTTTGAGACGTCTCAAAACTGGCCTGAGAGGATCTTGCCTGTCCATGTCCAATGTGCCCCTTTTTTCCCAATCAGGCAACAACCCCGTACCTTGTTGCCCCGGATCTGGATGCGGTCGGCTTTCACTGCTCCGAACTGGTTGAAGTGCTCTGCTATCTCCTTGGCAGTGATGCGCACTGGCAGGTTGCGCACAAACACAGCGCGGCCCTCCCCTGCAGCTGTGAGGAACAAAGGGCACACGGAGCAGAGGCACACGCATGGCACATGCAGGGGAAGGGAAGGAAAGGATGGGTTGAGTTTTAAGTGCTCTGCGATCTCTTTGGCACTGATTCATGTGCACTGGCGGGTTGCGCACAAACACAGCGCGGCCCTCCCCTGCAGCTGTGGGGCACACGGGGGGCACACAGGGGATGCAGTGTTTTGCTAGAAAACTTCGGCATCTCCTTGGCAGTCATGCGCACAAACACAGCAGGGCCCTCCCCTGCAGCAAGCAAGAACCCTCCCCCGCCCTGCCCTATGGCCATCGCAATAATCATCGTTCCTACCTTCGTCAGCAGCATTGGTATCCTCTCCAGCCCCAGCAGCACCACCAGCAGCAGCGAACCCAGGAGCAGGGGCAAGCAAACCAGCAGAGAACCCAGCTGCTGCCCCAGAAGGTGCTGCCTCTTGCCCCCCAAACGCCCCAGCACCCCCAACTGCTGCGGCAGGGAGAAGCGGCGGCTGCCTGGGCGCAACCGCCCCCAGAGGCGCAGCTGCGGGGGGAGTGGCGGAGAGAGGCGCGGAAGCTGCGCCCGCGGAGGCGCCCGCGGGTGATGCAGCTGCGGATTGCGCGCGCATGGCTTGCAGCTGTGGGGTGGGATGGCGGAGGGGTGTGTGGGGCGGGGAAGCGAGGCTCAAGAAAGGTACGGGTTGGGCGGGTTGGCACGTGGGCTAGGTTGAGATACGAGGAAGGGGGTTAGAATGGGTTTAGCAACACCCTCATTGTCAAATTCATAACAGGCTTGCTTCCAGTGAGGATGGGAGTTATTGTGACGGGGAATAACTCCACGAATCACGGCGAGTCTAGCATTGCGCAACTGAAATGTGATGTGGGGTCTGTGACAAAACCAACCAGCATGATCACTCATGTTAGAGACGTACTGGAGTCTTGATGTTTCAACACCAGCATGATCACTCACAATAGAGGCGTAAGACTTCTTAGGGGCCGGTTCATCTGACGCAGACGCAGTAGCAGGTGCCGCCGCTGCAGCTGGTGCTGCCGCCGCCGCTGGAGCTACAGTTGCTACAGGCGCTACCGCTGCTGCAGGCGGTGCTGCTGCTGCTGCTGCTGCGGGTGCAGCTGCTATAGCTGGTGCTACAGCTGACGCAGGTGTGGCTCCCGCAGCCGCTTCCCCGCCCGCAGGACTCGGAAGGACAGCAGGCGCGGAAACTGGGGCGGAAGGCGCAACAGACGCTTCCGCCTTCTCCCCTTCCGCCGCTGCTGCGGCGGCTCCCACTCCCGCCCCTTGACCCTGCCCTTGGCCCTGATCCACGGAAACGACCGACTCAGGCACTTCCCGAATCACCTGCACCTCCTCCACCGCAGCGCCGTCGTCCGCGGCCGGGGGAGCCTCGGCTCCGCCGGCTGCGGCGCTGGGCGCGGCGGCAGGCGCGGACGCCTGGGACGCCTCATCGACCGTTACATCTCGCACCGCATGATCCACAGATGTAACCTCCCGGGATCCCGCTGCTTGATCCGCCGCGTGCCCGTTCAACAAACCTGCCTGAGACGCACCCCCCGCAGCAGCAGCTGCAGCTGATCCAGAGGCCGACGCGGCCGACTTAGTACCCCCGCCGACGGCGTGTTTAACTACGGCGGGCGGCTGCGGCGGCGGCGCGTCCTCTAGAAACCGGAAGATGTCGTTAAGGACGTAGAAGCCGTTCTGCTGCGGCGCGAGGAAGAAGCTCTGGACGAAGCCGCGTCGCTCGCTGCTGCTGTAACAGTGCGCGCCGGTTACCACCACGAGAACGCCGCCGGAGAGAGATTCCTGGCAGTCCACGGATTTGATTTCCGCCTTGACTTCGCATGAATCCAGCGACATCACCTTGGTGTGGATACCCTGCACACGCCATGTGCAAGTGCGGGAAAGGCAAACCCACATGCGGGCCACACAAGCCATACAAAGCACCCAAGCCAAACCACAACCCGTTCATGCCATGCAGATCATGAAAACCACACAAGCATATGATCCGCAAACCCATACACACACGCCCACACATGCGTGAGGAATATGAGTAACCAGTTTTTTCACATTGCCAGTTACCGAAAATAGAGTCCTCGTTCTCAGAACAACAACGCAAGTTCCTTCAAGGTTGGTACACTAGAGCATTCCTTCCTGTACCTTCACACTGATGCAGTCCTCTCATTACCTTGCTGCTACTAGCGCTTCTCCAACCCAAGTGCTTGTGAGGAACAGATCTCGTGACCTGTTCCACAAATTCCGTCACGGCGATACGCACCTGCATGGTCGTCACGGTTTCCCCGGGAATGCCGAGGCGCTCGGCGCGCGTGAATTTGCTCTCGTCGACGTAGAACTTGTGCACGTCGTGCGGTTGCGTGTGCATCACGGTATAGTACTGCGACGCGAACGCCTTGCCGACCTGCGAGAGGGGAGATCAGGGAAACGGCGCTGCTTGAAACGCCTTGAAAGTCGTTATCCGACGCAAACGCCTTTCTGACTTGGAAATGAGAAAAACTCTGGAAATTACCATTAAAATTAAATCCTCTAAACTAGATCCATACTAGAGAACAAGCGGGATCAGAAGTCGAACCTCACTCACCGGAGCTTTACTAACGACACATGAAGGGTAAGATCAGTATCGTCGCTGTAAAAGCTGGATTCAAGCACGGATCTTAAGGAGCGTACTTAGTTGACCTTGAATTGAGACCCGGACACTGATCGCTAGCGAGTCGTCTCCTACGGCTTACCTCGAAAGCCCAGTCGGCCGTAGCTGCAGGGCCAGAAGCGGCAGGACCAGAGCCATCGGACACCATGGTGCCAGCGTAGGTATTTATTTAACGACTGATAAAAAACAAAAATGGTCTAAAGTACAACCCCCGAAGTTGCGGAGCCTACAACAGCAGAAGGGATCAGGGTACAAGGAGTCTAGGGATCAGGACAGCAATCTGAGAAAGGAACGGAAACAGAAGATGAAAACTGCAAGTGACCTAGGGAATTTCAGATCAGCAGAAAAGCTAGATTCAGGAAAGCGAAAACCGAGATTCAGGGAATAGATAGTTCGTTGGCTGGCTGGTGGTGGCAGCTCGGCGTGAGTGTGTGCTGAGCGGGCTCCAGCTCAGACGAAACTCGCCAGCTTCCAGAAGCGACGGTTTGCGGTGGAAGTGGGCTTGTGCGAAGCCACAAACAAGATCGGCGAGAATGTTACTGAGTTTCGCGAATAGGACGGAGCTGCTGTGCTGTGGGCTAGATCTGAGTCTGTCGTGGGCTTGGGTCGCAGGCGTCGCAGAACTTCGGCATTGGTTACGACGAAGATTGAAAAAAACTTGATCCGTTTGAGGACGGATTTGTGTATAATGTCTAACACTTTCCATTATAGTAAAGTCTGCCAGGTATAAACCAGCTGGTAGTAGCAGTAAAGAACGCCCATGCCTGGAAAACAAGCATATTTTTTTCTTGTATAAGGACACGAAACAAAACGAAAAACTATTAAAAGGAAACCAAGGGCGTGTTCCTGCAAATCGGTACAGCAAATGGATGTCAAGCTCTGAATCCATCAAGTGTGGCATCATTTGACAGCCCGTACTGAAGTGAAGGAAAACGCCCTGAGTCATGATGCCATCGTGAGCGCATTATTGGTCTCTGGTTGTCTTCTGGACCAAGGCCATGCTTTGGAGAGTGTCTGTGAGGGCCTATAGTACCAACAAACCCATGCGTCATATGGAAAACAGGGGGTTGATTTAGCCACACAAAAACCAAACCAGCAAACAAAAGCAAAAACAAAAAAACAACAAACGAAAACAAAACCGAGCAAACAAAAGAAACAAACAGTAATAAGACATCACACACCCTCCCAGACGCAGCTTACCTGCAATTCTCGGATGTATGCCGCTGTGGCTTCTAGCACGGATGCCATATCAGTTGGAGCCGACACTGGAGCTGGGACCAACAACCTAAGGGTTTCCACCGCATCACTGGAGATGAAGGAAAGGAAAGCGGAAAAGGCAAGTCAGAATCCAAAAAGGAGTTTGATAGAGAGAGAAAAATAGAGGAGAATGAAGTCAACAAGTAACATATTTTTTTTGTTTTTCCCCCTTTCTTTTTAGACCTTTCATAAGAGGCCAGATATTGGTCTTGTTGGTTCGCATTTGTAATTTACTTATTCCTGTTCCCGACTCACCTCACTCGCTTGCGGCGGGATCGTTCAGATCTGATTCGATTGCGTCTCCTCCTCACCGCAATCCCTTTCACGCCTGTCCTCTTGCTCCCACTCCCCTCCAGTTCCTTCCTCCCACCTACAGAAACCTCGCAGCCTGCAGCAACAGCGTCAGGCTGCATTACAGTCACACAACCGGTAGTCACGCCTCCCACATTCCCTCCTCCCACACTCCCCCCTCCCATACTCCCTCCCCCCACACTCCTTCCTCCCACACTCCCTCCTCCTGCATTCCCATCCCCCACACTCCACCCTCCCACACTCCCACCTCTCACACTCCCACCCTCCACACTCCCATCCCCCACCCTCCCACCTTCGACCCTTCCACCTCCCACACCCCCACCCGCCATAGCAATCCGTTCCCTAACAGCCCTGGTAAACTCCTCAAGACTCAGGAGAGGCGGTGCTGTTGATGCCACTCCGCCCACCCCCTCCCTCACAGCCCTGGTAAACCCCTCAAGACCCTGGAGAGGCGGTGCTGTTACCATTCTCCCTGAATGCATGGAGAGATGTTGTTCCTCGCAGGTAGGATTATCACAAGATCCGCTTCCCCCCTCCCTCCTCCTCTTGCTGCGGCTTCCGCTGCTGATGCTGCTCCTGCTGCTGCTGCTGCTGTGGCTGTTGTGGCTGCTGCTGCTGCTGCTCATGCCTTGGCTATCGCAGGCCTCTAAGGGAGTGGCAGCAGCGAGTGGTGTAGCTGCTACAGCTGGGCTGGTTAGTGGGGTTGGCGTTGGTGCTACAACCGGGCTGGCTGGTGGGGTTGTCGCTGCTGCTATAGCCAGCTTTGAAGGCAGGGATGGTGTCGCGGCTACAACCGGGCTGGCTGATGTGGTTGGCGTTGGTGCTACAGCCGGGCTGGCTGATGTGACTGGCGCTGCAGCTACAACCAGTCTGGCAGGTGGGGTTACCGTTGGTGCTACAGGCAGATTTGCTGGTGGGGAAGATCGTATGGGGAAAGCACGGGCAGGTGGTTTGGGCTCGGCACAGGGGGATGGTGTGGGAAGAGCAAAGCTAAGAGGAGGTACAGGGACACACTGGGGCAGACACAGAAGAGGAAACGCTGCTGGGCGGCACGGGTCGGGCGGAGAGGGTTGTCCCAACCTGCCAGGTGGTGTGTGTGCGAGACGAAGTGGTTGGGAGGAGTGTGGAGCGGCTGGGCTATTGGGCGCGGATAGTACTGCTGCTGCTGGTGCTGATGGGCGAAGAGGTGTTGATGGGGGGAGGGGTGCGGATGAGAGGAGAGGTGTAGATGGGTGGAGAGGGGCGAATAGTTTCCCTTCCATGGGTGCAACTGGTGGAGTAAGCAGGTTCGGGGACGTCTCAGCATTCCTCTTCACAAGATGAAGCGGTTGGGAGGAGTGCGGAGCGGCCGGGTGACTGGTCGCACAGGTAGGGCCGGCTGCAGCAGAAGCAGCAGCAATGCTCAGACTAGCGGCTGTAGCACATGCTCGTTCTGGTGCACCTGATGGCGCTGCTGCCGGCTGTAGCGGGGCGGACAGGCTGAAGGCGAGGCCAGCTGTAACTGCAGCAGAAGCAGTAGCGGTAGTCAGTGTGTCGGCTGTAGCATGCGCTTGCTCTGGTGCACCTGATGGTGGTGCGGCCGGCTGTAGCAGGGCGGACAGACGTTCACGCGAGGGGGAGACGGCAGCAGGTGAGACAGCAGCAGGTGAGACGGAAGCAGGTGAGACGGCAGCAGCAGGGAAGGCCGAAGCAGCAGAGGTGAAGGTGGTATCTGTGGGACACGTGGGCTCCACACATGCAAACGTTGACCTGGCGTGGTCAAACGCCGCTGCCACGTCAGCAAGAATCTCCCCAGAAAGCCGGAACGACTCCAGCATTGCCTCGTCAAATGGGGGTATTTCCCCTGAAAAATGATATCCTGAGTCACCAAACGGGGGTATTTCACCTGAGATTTTAAAAGGGGGTATTTCCCCTGAGCCATTGCAGGAAGGAGGAAGGGCAGACAGGTTTAGACTGCTGCTGCTTCCAAATTGGGGCATTTCCCAATCCGAGCGAGCGCTAACGGAAGAATATTGCAGTGGAATCCCCGCAAAACGCGACGAATCTGAGCCGTTCATCCCACCAGCGCTGCTCTCCCCGTCCGTCCGATCGCTCATCAAGAGATCCTGATCGTCCATCACGGCTCACGTGAGTTTCATCCCCGGAGCCTGAACTCGAAGGATGAATATTAAATTCCGGAACCGCAATCAAACCAGCTTCTGTCCGTTAAGAACGTCGACTATAGGAGTACTAGCGCGTAAGGAGCAGACTTAGTAGTCTTGGGTGGGACCTAGACGTTCTGAAGGGAAAACGAACAGCTGAGCCGGATGCGAAAATAATCGGGAAGTAAAGGCGGCGACGTACCGCTTCATGGAGAGAAATGAAACCGTCGCATGGAAAGTATCTACTCAAAGAACAAATGCACCAAGGAAAACTGTTGACTGAATTTCATTGCAATTGTCCTGCGCTTTCCGGGTGTTTCCGAAGTTCACGCCTGCGACTCCCACGAAATGGGAGAGCATTTTTGCAGGAAGTATGCACAAGTGAAACTCCCAGGCTCGCTCGCAGCGAGATAATATCTGGCCTTGTATATAATACCCCTAGTCTAAAATCTCGACTCATTGGCGAAGACAAGATCCCAAGAGCGCACCGCGAAGTGGCGGTGCAACTAAAGCAAAGACACGTGGCAGACGACGTATCCATGCTTTTGCGAGCTAAGAGGTGACGATTCTGCCAAACAACGGCTAGCGTGAATTGCGGATGCGAGGAATAGCAGACGAAGCTTTCACCAAATTCTAGCTTCTGGGGTAAGACGGGAATAGTAGCGCCTCAAATAAATTTAGGCAGAACTATTTGTACGGTTCAGCGGGTTTCTATGCGTTTCAACACGGTATGTATACATGCAGTTATGGTTAGGTACACATGATGCTCACCCCCTGCACGCGAATTTTCCCTGCACCGGATGGAAACTCTGCACCCGTGTTTTTTTCCCCAGCCAGCTGCACGCACGTTACAAGCACGTCGCGTGGTTCTGCACCAATAGTAACGAAAAGACCGAAGTCAAAATGTCAACGAGTAAGCTACAATTATTTTATCAGCACCTGACGAATCCTTTTTTGCTAGTTGCGAATTGACGAAACTTATGCGAAATATAAGAACAGCTCAAGCGCCCCCTTCACAAGGCAACCGGGAGTGGCTCAACCCTGGCATCATGTGTACCCTATGGAAGTGGTATGACGTAAATCTGCTACAATCGGGGCAAAGGTGAATTAGGCGATGCTTGGGATGGTGATTGTTCCGCGGATGGTTACGAAGCTTGGGCTTGTCGCAAATGTTGGTGTTAGCTGAATGTGGGCTTGTTTGGGCCGCATGTGCCACCCACACGCCTTCCACCGACGTGAAAAATCATCCACCGACAGTGCTGGCGACGGTTCCCAGCCAATAGAAATCGGTAAAATTTATCCGCAAAACTAACAGCGGCTGGAAGTTGAGAAACCACAGAAGAACACGACTTGAAACAAACCATGTATAAACTGAAAGTACACACCCTCAAACATGATATATTAGTCCAACAAACGTCTTGATTGAAACTGCTGCATCCCCAAACTACTCCTCCGACACATCACACCCACAAATGTCTTAAAACGCCGCTTGAACCTTGACACAACGACCATACTCTCCTCTCCTCTATCCTTGCGTCTCGAGTTCCTAGGTCTCCAATCTTGATCCCAATTACCCTCCCTCCTTTCCTTTCACGAATTATTTTCACCTCCCTCTCCATCCGCATTCCTAGTTCCATCCGCTTCTCCCCCCTCAGTAATATGTGCACTCCCCGCTTCTCCCTCCCTCTCGTCCTCTTGTAACCCACCCTTCTCGTTGGCGTTCCCCTCTTTATCACCCACACCATCCTCCTCTCCTTTCATTTCCTTGTCTATGTCCTCCCTCTCTTTCTTCACCTCCTTCCCCTCTTCCTCATCCATCTCACAATTCCTCGCATCCTCCTTCCGCTCTCCCTCCTCTCCACCCTCTAGCTTTCCATCCTTGGTCTCTCCTCCCTCTTTACCTTCATCCTCCTCTTTCTCATCCTTTACGATTTCCCCCCCTTTGCTCCGACCCTCCTCCTCCTCCTCCTCCTCCTCCTCCTCCTCCTCCTCCTCCTCCTCCTCCTCCTCCTCCTCCTCCTCCTCCTCCTCCTTTACCTGTCTACCTTCCTTCCCCTCCACATATTTCCCCTCCCCATCCTTCCATTCTTTACCCTCCCCATCCTTGCTCTCCTTCCCCTCCCCCTCATCCCCAAGATCAGCTTCATATTCCGAAGCAGGAATGTGTGGGGCATCCGAAAAAGCTCCAGGCACAGGCCGGCTGCCCCAGTCCGCGGGCAGGTGTGAGAAATTCGGCCCGAAGTTGAAGCGCACGGTGGCGCCCTCTGATTGGTCGGGCAGCGTGAAGAGGGAAGCTGCCGGGAAGTATCTGCCCGCTGGAATGTCTTTAAACGCCGTGCCCAGACTCACCCCATTGCGAAAGAACACGATTTCACTTCCTGTGGAGGGGTGGTTGTTGAAATAATAAAAACACAATTCTTAAGGTGCCTAGAATATAGCAGAAACTAAAGAAATAGAAGGGTGCCCCATCAGCTTTATCAGCAGTCGCGGCTTCAGAAACACATAGAATGTTTAAGGCCCCTTTAATAATTAGACTTGAGAAACGCACAGAAAAGGGAAGAACGGGAAGGGAGAACTGCAGCACGGCTGCCAATGCCAAGGCACAAGAAAGAATGGAAGGTAGAAACGCACACCACAAAACAAAGAAACGCTCACCAGGCAAGGAAGGGGCCCCAACAACACTTTACTCGCTCTCCAAGTAGCACGGCTGCACCTTCCATGTCACCAATTTTGTTTGAGGTTGATTTTGAGAATTCTCAAAATCAACCTCAAACAGGAAGGGGCCCCAACAACACTTTACTCGCTCTCCAAGTAGCACGGCTGCACCTTCCATGTCACCAATTTTGTTTGAGGTTGATTTTGAGAATTCTCAAAATCAACCTCAAACAGGAAGGGGCCCCAACAACACTTTACTCGCTTTCCAAGTAGCACGGCTGCACCTTCCATGTCACCAACACAGGAGAGAATGGAAAGGAGGCAACCCTTTGCTTAAGCAGGTTTACCCGGCATTTGACACTTCCAACACACTGATAAGGGAAAATCGCTTACCAGGCACGGGAGGCCCTCCCTTTGCACTCTCCTCGCTCTCCACGTAGCACGGTTGCCCCTTCCACGCATGTACCATTCACTTACCATGCGCTGATAAGAAAGAGCAATGCTTACCAGGCACAGGGGGCCCTCCTTTTGCACTCTCCTCGCTCTCCACGTAGCACGGTTGCCCCTTCCACGTCACCAGTGGCCGCGGCTTGGGTGCCAGCCTGGCGCCACCTGGCAGGCTGATGTAGCAGCCAATCACGTCGCCCTCCACGTACCCCGGCGCCCGCTTGCTTATGTCTCCCGCAGGGTGGGGTTGGGAACGGTTGTGAGTGGTTTCAGGGTGTGCAGATGCATTTTCAGGTGGATCTTTCCTGTCAGGTGCATTTTCCATGTCACCACCGGCAGCGGCAGCAGCAGCCGGCGCAGCAGCAGTGGCGGCAGCAGCAGTAGCAGCAGCAGCAGTAGCAGCAGCCGCAGCAGAAGCAGCAGCAGTGACAGTAGCACTGGAAGGAGGCAGCGGAGGAAAATCCAGCGATCCTCCAGCATACGCCCTCCTAACTGCCTGATGCACCACGCTCCCATCCACATCCCGGAACCCAAACCCCCACGTGTCAAACCCCACTGGAGTCTGCATGTCGGCGCGCTGTGTGGCCCAGCCTATGCGGGCGTGCCCTGACTGCCCCAGATGCAGCATGTGGATCTCGAAATACCACGCGCCCTCCATTACCCCTCTGGTTGCTAGCACCGTGCGATAACCCTTGCTGCTCGTTGCTGATAATCGGTCCTCACTCAACTGCAGACGGAGTAAGGGAAGGAGGGGAGGGAGAGAGTGAGGGGAGTGTGGGGAAGTGAGTGACCACGCGCCTTCCAGCACTCCCCTTGTTGCTAGAACCATGCGATAGCCCTTGCTGCTCGTCGCTGATAATCGATCCTCACTCAACTGAGGATGATGGAAACGGGGATGCGGGGAACAGGAAAGTAACAAGAATGAGGGAAAGGCGAGGGGTGAGCGCCTGTTGGCTCGCTGCGTGGCCCAGCCTATGCGGGTGTGCCCTGTGCGCCCCAGACGCAAAATGTGGCTCTCACAGTACCATACGATTGCCTTTGCTGCTTACCTGGATCTGTGCCGCCCGGAACACTCGTGATAAGACAACCGGCCTATCAGGCCCATCTTCGATCTCCAACCCCTTGGGCGCAGGTACCACCTTCACCAGATCCGCCTCCTTCCTCTTGTCCCCCATCCCCGTTATAAGCCCTCCCCCAGCTGCCCCTGCACCAGCCAGCCCCCCCTTGGCCCCCCCATGCGCCCCCCCTCTCCCTCCCCCCTTCTTGCCCGTTTTCCTAGAGCGTGGGGGGAGGCCTTTCCGCTTCTTCCCCCCTTCTGCCGTCCGCGCTGCCCCCCCCACACCTGCTTTTTCACCTGCCCCATCAGCCTCCCCACCCGCCCCTACTTTTTTCGTCTGCTCGTCACTCCCCCCGTCCTCCTCCTTCCCAGGCGTTCCCGCACCGCCGCTTCCCCCTCCCCCACCGTTCTCCCCCGCGCTTCCCCCCTTGCTATCCCTGCTCCCCCCTGTCTTCTTAGTCTGCTCTCGTGGCTTTAAGTCAATAAGAACGTATGATATGTCTTTTTTGCGGGTTACCATGCTTCCCGTCTGTTCCCCCTTCTGCTCCCCCGTCTGCTCCCCTTTTTTCTCTCCCATCTCCTCCTTCTCTTCCTTCTCTTCCTGTCGTTGCTCCCCCTCCCGTCCCTCGTCCTGGTCCCCCTTCTCTCCATTTCCCCCCTTCTCCCCTTGCTCCCCTTGCTCCCCCTGCCCCCCCTGCTCCCCACGCGTCCTAGCTCCGTCGTCCCCCTCCTCATCTCCTCCTCCTCCACCTCCCCCTTCACCATCTCTACTAACCGTTACCTGATTACGTTCCCCCTTCCCATCCTTCTCGGTTCTTCTCGGTTCTCTACCATCACTGCTCTCCTCTCTCCGCTCCTTCTCCTCCTGTCTTTCCTCGTTCCCGTCTCCCTCATGCATACCCCCGTCGCCCCCGTCTTTTGGAACCTCGCTGCCCTTCCCCCCTTCTCTCCTCTCCATATCACCCACTTTCCCGTTCCCCAATTTCCTTCTTTTTTTCTTCGCCAGTCCCTCCCCCTTCCCGTCCTCTGCACCCTCCTCCCCGCCCCCCGCCCGTTCCGCCACGTCACGCTTCCGCGATTTCCTCGCAGCTTCGCTCAGCTTCATCACCTTCCTTGGTCCTTCCTCCTCCGAAACATCCTCGATTTCAGCCGCCTCGTTATCGTCACCGCCATCATCCTCCTCTTCGTCCAAAAGATCAATACACTCCTCCTTCTCCTCCTCTATCTTAACATCCTCGTCATTATCTTCTTCGATCTTAACACAGTCCTCCTCATCCTCATCCTCCTCTCTCTCCTCCTCCTTTTCCCTAACCTTCTCTTGGTCGCTTGTTCCACTCTCCCGTTTCCCCCTTTCTACCCCAACCTGAGACGATGCCGTCTTAACATGGTCCCCCGCGGGCTCCCCACCACCGTCACCCTCATCTCCCCTGCTTCTTGCTTCCTTCTTCTCCTCGCCTTCTCCACCACTCCCCCCATTCTTCCCGTCATCTTCATCATGTCGCGAACTCTCTTCGTCTTCTCTTCCCCGCTTCATCACTGCGGCCGATTCTCTCAGACGACCGTTGCTGATCTGCTCGCCTTTGCAGGCTGGCGTCGAGTATTCGCTTATCAACTAAGCTAGCTTCGCTTATCAGTGAAAAATATAATCAGAACGCTGACGCTCGTCAATACACCACTCACAAACAGAAGCCTACGGAAAGCCTAACGTAGTGCTGAACCTAGAGTGAGCGAGGACTAAGTGAAAGAATCATGACTGAAGAGGGGGGTGATATCCTGAAATGAGGGAGGGGAGATATCGAGGTTGCTGTCGAATTTGGCGGGAAACTGAGAGAAATTCAAATCCTCGAATTTGAGAGAATAGCTTACAGAGCCTTCGTGATATTTAGCTTTTGTTGAACTTCGGAAAAGAGCACTTTGTATCGGAGCAGATTCGCGAACAATCTCTTGCGGAATTTGCGACATTTTGAACTGTTCGATATTATAAGCCCCTTGTTTACAATCCGCCGAGTCATGATAAGGGGCTGAATAATAGCGAGACTTTTTTCAACAGGGGCTATTTTCACCGTCGTGCCAGTGTCCTGCCGACGCGTCCTGTCCTGAGTAGAGGTACAGGAAACGTAGCCTCCTATTTTCTGCTCTGCCCTGCACTCGTCTGAATGGTGCCGCTCGTTGCTATCCGAAACTCCTTAGGCACTCCGTCGGCCATCGCAGCCATCCGATTTGTCGCCCGGACAGCATCCACGGCTCCCGTCGCCTTTTCGCCAAAGTTCGCCACCGACACTGTTACTGGCAGTCTATCATCGCGAAATCAGATCGTCACGCCCTTAGTGGTACGCTGCAAGCGTTTAATAAGAAACGCCCATTCGTGTTGTGCTATATCCGTTGCTCTTCCGAGAATAGTAGTCCCCACATTTGTGACTGTGTCGAGGACTCGATCATTAGGGACTGTTACAACAATGGCTGGTGGCGACCGTAAACCCGCCGCTCCGCGTACAAACTCCGAGGCACCGCACAGCACCGCTCTGCGCCGCTCCACGCGGGCAGCAGCAGCAGCTTCCGCCGCGGCCGCTCGTTCTGGCGACGCCGAGATTGGCGCTGCGACTGGCGGAAAAATAGCGCAGGGAGAAGGCGCGGGGAAAGAGCGCGCGGGGGTCAAGCGCGCGAGAGAGGTACCCAGCGGGAGCGGGAAGGGGGAAGCGGGGAAGGGCGCGGTTGGGGGAGGTTGGACGGGGGGAAGGGCGCGGTCACTGGGAAGAGGGGGAGCGGTAGCAGGGGGAAAAGGGAAAAGAGGGAAAGCCGCAGAGCTGAGCGAAGAAGAAGAAGAGGAGGAGGAGGAGGAAGAGGAGGAAGAAGAGGAAGCGGAGGAAGAGGAGAAGGGGAAGACGAAAGGGGGAAAGAGGGGAAGACCCGCAGGCCCACGTGGTCAGCAGGCTAAGGGGATCAAGCCAGTAGAATCAGGACATGTGGAGTCACAAGAGCCAAAATCGCAACCAGAATCACAGCCGTTGGAGTCACAGGAAGAAAAAGAGGAGGGCAGGGAGGGAAAAGAAACCGTTCCCGAAGGGCAGGTGAAAAAAGGCCGGGGTAAGGCCGGGCCGCAAAAAGCCGGGAAGAAAAAACCCGGGCAGCTGACGAAAAAAGAGCAGATGGAGATTGCTAAACGAATGGAGGCAGATGCCGAAGCTAGTCAGGAGCCTTGGAAGGTTCTGGTTCACCGAAAGCTGCAACCTGATTGGTTCCCGTATGATCCCAAGACGATGAGGAAAGCTGACGTGGATGGGGGGGGGAGTGAGCTGGCAGGGGCGGGAGGGGAGGAGGGAGGGGAGAAGGGAGGAGGAGAAAAGAAGGTATGGCGCCTTGTGTCTTGGAATGTGAATGGGTTGAGAGCGTTGCTTAAAGGTGGAGAGGGGGAGGGGGAAGGGGAGGGGAGTGGGGGGAAGAGTACAGAGAAGGGGAAGGGGAAGAAGAAAGGGGGAAGGGGAGCAGCAAAGGGGAAGGCGGGCGGAGGGGAGGAGGGGGAATCGCAGGATCCAGCTGGCGAGTCGCAGGATCAGGAGGTGACCATGGCTGCTGACGTGTCTGCTGACGTGGCGGCTGAGGCGACCGTGCTGTGTCGATTGGCCGAGAGGGAGCGTGCTGACGTGGTGTGCCTGCAGGAGACGAAGCTGCAGGAGAAAGACGTGGGGGAGATTCAGAAGGCTCTGTCTCCTTCCTTCCCGCACTCGTTCTGGAGCTGCAGCACGGCCAAGCTCGGATATTCTGGCACAGCTGTTCTGTCTAAGGTGAGTGGGACCTTATTTGCTCTCCTTCTGTCTAAGGGCGTGGGGGAGGTTCAGAAGGCTCTGTCTCCATCCTTCCCGCACTCGTTCTGGAGCTGTAGCACGGCTAAGCTGGGATATTCTGGCACGGCAGTGCTGTCTAAGGTGAGTGGGTGGAACTTGTGTGTTGCTGTATGGAAGGGCAGGCAGACGGCAGGAGTCGAAGCTGCAGGAGAAGGACGAGGGGAAGGTTCAGAAGGCTCTGTCTCCCACGTTTCCGCACACGTTTTGGAGCTGCAGCACGGCCAAGCTTGGATACTCCGGCACGGCAGTGCTGTCCAAGGCGAGTCAGTGGGACTTGTGTGTTGCTGTATGGAAGGGCAGGCAGACGGGCGTCCGGGAGATTGCAAAGGCGCTTTATCTCCCTCCTTTCCGCACTCCCTTTGGAGCTGCAGCAGTGGAGAGCATGGCATTGCTGTCTAAGGCGAGCGGTATTCTCGCACGACAGGCCAGAGCACGACAGGCCAGAGCACGACAGGCCAGAGCACGACAGGCCAGAGCACGACATGGAGGGGCGCATGGTGACGGTTGAGTTAGTGCCACCCACTGTTGAGTGAATTGTTCTACATATGTGCTTCACTCCCTCTTTTTCAGGTGCGCCCTCTCTCAGTGCGCTACGGCATCAACAAGCCAGAGCACGACAAGGAGGGGCGCGTGGTGACGGTGGGATATAAGACAGTCACTGTTGATTTCACTGTCTTTCCCTTTCAGGTGCCTCCTCTCTCAGTGCGCTACGGCATGGACAAGCCAGAGCACGACAAGGAGGGGCGGGTGGTGAGGGTGGAATTTACTGACAGTGGTAACTGACTACTATCTCATATGTGCCGCTCTCTCCCATCTCCTGTTCAGGTGTCCCCCCTCTCAGTGCGCTACGGCATTGGCAAGCCAGAGCACGACAAGGAGGGGCGCGTGGTGACTGTTGAGTCTTGTCACGGTCGAATCAATCGTTTTATACATGTGCCAATCTCCCCCACTTTTCAGGTGCCTCCTCTCTCAGTGCGCTATGGCATCAACAAGCCAGAGCACGACAAGGAGGGGCGCGTGGTGACTGTGGAATTCGCCCCCTTCTTCCTCGTCTGCTGCTACACCCCCAACTCGTCCGAGAAGCTAGTCAGACTGGTGGGTAGCCAAGGGAAGTCAATGCAAGTCAACGCTAGTCAAGGCTAATCAAGCTATTAGGATTCGCCCCCTTCTTCCTCGTCTGCTGCTACACTCCCAACTCTTCTGAGAAGCTTGTCAGACTGGTGGGTAGCCAAGGGAAGTCAATGCAAGTCAACGCTAGTCAATGCTAGTCAAGGCCAGTTAAGCTAACTAGCCCCATTCTTCCTCGTCTGTTGCTACACTCCCAACTCATCTGAGAAGCTAGTCCGGCTGGTGGGTGGTCAAGACGAGTTAATGCGAGTCAAGCTAGTCACACCAAGTCAAGCTTGTTATTTTCTCCCCTTGCTTCCTCGTCCCAATGTGCTTTGCTGTTCGCACAATGACTGTCCCGCTGTGCCTTGAGGCGATTTTTGAGTCGACTCAAAAATCGCCTCATCACAATGAGTGTCCGTCCCGCTGTGCCTTGTGTCCTCACGGGAAGTGAGGGTGTTTTTGAGACGTCTCAAAAACACCCTCACTTCACATGAGTGTCCCGCTGTACCTTGTGTCCTCACGGCTATCGCGCAAAGACATGGGACGTCGCGTTTTCTACATTCACCCAAGCACTCACGGTTCCCCAATGCGTGTCCCTCCCACTCTGTCTCGTCGTGTCTCTGCAGGACTGTCGCACCAAGGAGTGGGACGATGCGCATGTGGCATTTGAGTCGACTCAAAAGTCGCATGTGGCAGTGCGACATAGCTGGAGGATCTGAATTTGGCAGGGCTGTCAATTTGGACGATTTCCACAAGTACCTTTGCTGGTCCCCAATGCGTGTTCCACCCATTGTGCCTTGTCTCGTGTGTGCAGGACTACCGCACCAAGGAATGGGACGTCACATTCGGCAGCTACGTCAAGGTACATACATAGTTAGTGCATCCGTGGGAGGGGTAAGGTTAGTGCATTTCCCAGAGAGCCATTGGTGTGCATTCATCTGCAGGACTACCGCACCAAGGAATGGGACGTCGCGTTTGGCAGCTACGTCAAGGCAGGTTCACCTCAGGCCATCTGAGAATTCTCAAAGGCTACGTCAAGGTGGGGTTCGGGAAATCTGAGGATTCTCGAAGTTAAGGATTTTCAAAGTTACGTCAAGTCACAGCAAGCTGAGAATTCGCAAACGCCTATCTGGAGGAGCAGAACCCAGTGATTGTCGCGGGTGATCTCAACTGTGCGTTTGGGGAGAGAAACCTCTTTCACCTCGAGGGCAACCGAAGAAGCTCGGTCTCCTCTGCCCTCCCACCACTCCATCCACTCACTCCCTCTCCCTCTCCTCTCTTCCTCGAATGGTCGACTGGCATAACAACAGGAACTGGAGAAGCAGAAGCCAGTGGTTGTGACGGGTGACCTGAACTGTGCGTTCGGGGAGATTGACGTCTTTCACCCCGAGGGCAATTGGAGGAGCTCGGGATTCACTCCCTTCCAACCAGCCCCTTCCCTCACTCCGTCTATGTTTCTCCCTCTGTTGTGATGTGCCATTCCAGGAGCTGGAGCAGCAGAAGCCGGTGATTGTCACCGGAGACCTCAACTGTGCGTTCGGGGAGATTGACATCTTTCCACCCTGAGGGCAACCCACGAGCTCACTCTCTCTCCTCTCCTCTGTCTCCCCCTCACGATTTCGAATCCCTCCATTCCAGGAACTGGAGAAGCAGAAGCCGGTGGTTGTGACTGGTGACCTGAACTGTGCGTTTGGGGAGATCGACATTTTCCACCCCGAGGGCAACCGCAGGAGCTCGGGGTTTACCGATGAGGAGCGGGCGTCGTTTGCAGCTAACCTGCTGGGCGTGCCCTGGGAAGGGGAAGAGGGGGGAGAGGAGGGGAAAGGGGGAGAGGGAGGAGAGGGAGGAGAGAAGGGTGAGAATGGAAGTGGAGGGAAGAAGGGGGAAGAGGAGGTGAAAGGGGAGGGTGGAGATGAGGGGGGAAGAGGCAAGGAACGTGGTTTGGTGGATACGTTTCGCAGTCAGCATCCCAATGCAGTGGCGTATACCTACTGGGGGTACCGGTCGAAAGCAAGACCTGCTAACAGAGGTACGTGGCAATCAGTCACACTCTCTCACTCAGGCTCACACCCACGCTCTCATGCACTTACATACTCGCTTGCACGCACACTGGTTCGGGAAATACGTTTTGACTGGATGGTAGTGACCTGGACTACTTTTGAGGCGACTCAAAACCGGATGGTGACCGAGACTATTTTCTTGTGTCCCAGTCGCTAGCACCAACTATGCACGACTCATACATACACCTTGAGACGCTGATTTGTGATTTCTTTTTTTGGCCCCTCTATTCCCCAACCCACTTACCTCTGCGCCTTTCACCAGGATGGCGTTTGGATTACTTTCTGGTGTCCAAGTCACTAGCATCAAATGTGCACGACTCATACCACACCATGTGACACTGATTTCTGATTCCTGATCTTTTCCCAATCCCTTTACCTTTCACCAGGATGGCGTTTGGATTACTTTCTGGTGTCCCAGTTACTAGCATCAAATGTGCACGACTATGCTGATATCTCATTTCCCTTGTTCGCCCCTCTCTTCCCAACCCTTGGCATCTCACCAGGTTGGCGCCTGGATTACTTTCTTGTGTCGCAGTCGCTAGCATCAAGAGTGCACGACTCATACACCATGCCAGATGTGCCTGGCAGCGACCACTGCCCCCTGGGGCTCATACTGAAGATGTGACTGTACGGAGTGAATAGTAGGGTGTGCGTGGCTGCAGCGAATATGACAAGCGCACACCAAACAACTCTTCCTAGTAACCCAGTCAGTCACTAGCATGCAGAGTGCACGACTCCTACCTACACTATGCCAGATGTAAACCTGGCAGCGACCCCGCTGGCAACGTGCTGAAGATGTGACTGGTAGGGTGTGTTGCTATTGTCAGAATGTTATTCTCTAGCCTGTAGTGGGGTGCTTTATAGCGAGTACAACCCATCTAGGGTTTGCTATATGTATCATCATTACTGCTAGTGAACTCCTCTCTCTTTTTGCCTAAACTTCTCTTGCCTAGCTAGGGCTTACCTAGCTATGGCTCCTAAGACTGCTCGTTCTTTTAACATGGTATCAGAGCTATTATGACAGCAGTACACCAAAGTTCCTAGCATCAAGAGTTCATGACTCGTATATCATGCTATGTGCCCAGAAGCAAGCAAGCATTTGCCCTATGGGAGTGTTGCCAGCTTACCAGAATGTTAAATTAGCAAGCATGGCATGACTAGATTAACAGTATCGTATTGCACAAATCATATATTACGTAAGCAGCAAGAGTGCATGACACCCTGCCAGATGTGTGCCTTGTATGTTTTTTGAGATTTCTCAAAAAACATACACATGACACCATGCCACATGTGTGGCTGCTGGGAGTGACCATTCCCTGCTTGGGCTTGTGCTGATGGTGTGGCAGTAGGGAGTGTTGCTGCTGCAATAAACGGGAGGAAATGATGGAAGGGAGAACAGGAGTAACATAAGGAACAGGGAACGGGTGATGAGGAAGGGCGGACGGGAGAAAATGAGGAAGGGCGAGAGGGAGGGGATGAGGATGATAGAACAGTAAGAAATGATGGAGGGAGAACGAGCATTAGATAGCATGCACTTTCGGAGGAAATGGCAAGTGACGTGTTGCGAAAGCAAGAACGAAGGCAAGGGGAAGGCTAGGATGACGTGGTGGAAGGAAGCCAGGAATAGAGAGATTGAGGAATGGAGGAAACACGAAAGACGGAAACGGGAAAGCCGGAAACGCGATGAGTGGCCCTAAACCCTTGACTGTTGTAAGCTATGGTCTGAAATAGTAGCGGTGCGAGGAACTATGCGTGGTCACACGGCCTGAGGCGATTTTTGAGGCGCCTCAAAAGAAGTATGCGTAGTCACACTAGAGGGAGGGTGTGCATGAACTACGTGTGGTCACACGGCCTGAATTACCTTTCCTGGCTGTGCACACTCATGCCCATGTCCCCTCCTGAATGGTTGCCACGAGCGGGTGTGCAGCTGCAACAGTAGATTTTTTAGTCGACTCAAAAATTGACTTATCAGCTGCAAAGTAGTTATCAGGGTGCGGATACCAGTCACCCATGTTGACTGTATAAAAGCCGCTGAGCAACCTCCCATTCGTCGAGCGCAGCTCGTTAATCAATCTGCTCCAGTTAGACCCGAGCGCACCCACAAAGTAGTCGCACTGAGACGCGATAACAGCGGCTTTTGATTGAGGTGCTTCAAAAGGCTGCAACAGTAGAAGAGAGTGCAGCTACCAGTCCCCCATGTTGACTGTATAAAATCCGCTGAGCAACCTCCCGTTCGTTGACCGCAGTTCGTTTATTAGTCGGCTCCAGTTAGACCCGAGCGCACCCACAAAGTAGTCGCACTGCGACGCGATGATAACGCTCGCGAAACTCGCTGCGACTGACTGCTTGAGCTCGTATTCTCGGCTCGACCTGGAGTCCACGGGCTGGCGCGAGTTGGATGAGTAAAGGAACTTCCAGTCCGCGTACAAGGCTGATTCCTTAATCACAGACTGGATGGCGGGTGGGAGAGAAGGAAGGACGGAAGAATGGTTTGAGAGTTTTGAGACATCTCATACTTGCGGCTTGACCTGGAGTCCACGGGCTGGCGCGAGTTGGAGGAGTAGAGGAACTTCCATTCGAGGTACAAGGCTGATTCTCTAATCACGGACTGTAGGGCGGGTGGGAGAGAAGGAAGGAAGGAAGGAAGGCCTGTTAGTCGACTAAAAAACAAGCGAGTTGGAGGAGTGAAGGAACTTCCATTCGAGGTACAAGGCAGATTCCCTGACCACGGACTGGGTGGTGGGAGAGAAGGAAGGAAGGAAGGAAGGTTTACGCTGGAGGAAAAGCAGGGAGAGAGGCGGATCGTGGTGAGTTAGGGAAGACAAGCAACGCCATTGGCAAGCGATAAAGAGGTGGAGGAGTAGAAGGCATGGGCAAGGCAAGCATTCGTTGCCCCACACACCTCCATCTCTGTATTGAGCCCCACGTATCGCAGGTCCGGCACGTGGCGCCGCAGCCGGTGCACAAAGAACATGTGCGTCGCGAGCGGCGACAGACACATCTCCACGCACCTCTCAAAGCATCCATTGCCCCACGCACGCACCTCCATTTCCGTATTGAGCCACACGTGTCGCAGGTCCGGCACGTGGCGCCGCAGCCGGTGCACAAAGAACATGTGCGTCGCGAGCGGCGACAGACACATCTCCACGCACCTCTCAAAGCATCCATTGCCCCAAGCACGCACCTCCATTTCCGTATTGAGCCACACGTGTCGCAGGTCCGGCACGTGGCGCCGCAGCCGGTGCACAAAGAACATGAGTGTGGCGAGCGGCGACATTGAGGTGTATTTTGAGGCGCTTCAAAATACACCTCGGTGCACAAAGAACATGTGCGTGGCGAGCGACGACAGGCGCATCACTGTGCCCTTGTCACTCTGCCGCACGTGCAAGCCTTGGAGTCCACTCACAACGCACCTCCATCTCGGTGTTGAGCCACAGAGTCGCAGGTCCGGCACGTGGCGGCGCAGCCGATGCACAAAGAACATGTGCGTGGCGAGCGGCGACAGGCGCATCTCAGTCCCTTTGTCGCTCTGCCGCACGTGCACACTCACGATCGGCCGCATCACAAACGGCTCCCCTCCCAACGATGCGTACGTCTCCTTAATCGCCTTGGCATCTGCAGCACTCATGCAGGTCTCTTAACACCCCGCGAACCCCCGGACGGTCCAGACTTGCGATTCAATGGGTCCCGGAGGGCCCGCGGAAATCTCGGAAAGTTTCTTGGATTCGGGTGACTCGGATGTGTTGCCTGCGACGGCCCGGAGGATCTCGGTCTGGGTTTCGGTGTAGCGCGAGAGGTGGGATGCGGTGAGGAGGCCGTAGGCGGTGTGGCGCTCCTTGTTGATTTGGTGGCACGTGTGAGGGGAGGGCCAGCGCAGCATGAAGCGTGTTGACTGGGATCGCCACCAGTGCACCTGATAGGCGAGGAGGGGAGGGGTAGGGGGAGGGGTGAGACGTGGTGTGGAGGCCGTAGGCGGTGTGGCGCTCCTTGTTGGTGGCGTGGCACGTGTGAAGCGAGGGCCAGCGCAGCATGAAGCGCGTTGACTGGGATCGCCACCAGTGCACCTGACAGCCAGGCGAGGAGGGGAGGGGTAGGGGGAGGAATTGAGAGGAGGGAGAGCGGGAGGGAAGGGAGAGAGGGAGAGGGAGAGGAGGGGAGGGGGTAGCGCGAGAGGTGAGACGCGGTGTGGGCGCCACACCGCCAACCAGCGCGTTATGAAGCGCGCCAACTGGGATCGCCACCAGTGCACCTGCAAGGTGTGGGGGCATGCAGGGGAGGGGTAAGACGAGGAGTGGAGGTGACTGGGGTCGACTGGGGTCGACTGGGGTCGCCACCAGTTCACCATCTGCCAAGAGAGGAGGTGAGGGGTAGGGGGGATGTAGGCGAGAGGTGAGGGGTAGGGGGAGTTTTGAGACGTCTCAAGAAACGCAAGCAAGCGCACACACACGCACGCACCATCGGGTGTTTGTCGTCAGCTTGCGGTTACTCCCCCATGTTTTGAGTCGACTCAAAACACCAAACCCACAAGTGAGCGCATTCGCACGCACCACGGGGTGATTGGTCCCAACAGGCGGCTGCTCCCCCATATACTCCACCACATTCGGGTGAGTACTGAGTCGACTCGCAAGTCACTGTGTACCATGCGGATTCATTTGTACAACCACTCCCATGAGAAAGCGAGCGCACACACGCACGCACCACGGGGTGATTGGTCTCAGCAGGCGGCTGCTCCCCCATATACTCCACCACATTCGGGGCCCTCGCGAACGCATCGCCCCATAGCCTGGGGAAGTGGGGGGCGGGAGCGGGGGACGGGGTTGGGGCCTTTAAGGCGCCTCAAGAGTCGCACCATCGATGTTGGGTGTCAACGTGCGGCTGCTCCCCGAATGAGTGTAATCCACCACATTCGGGGCCCTCGCGTACGCATCGCCCCATAGCCTGGGGAAGTGGGGGGCGGGAGCGGGGGACGGGGTTGGGGCCTTTAAGGCGCCTCAAGAGTCGCACCATCGATGTTGGGTGTCAACGTGCGGCTGCTCCCCGAATGAGTGTAATCCACCACATTCGGGGCCCTCGCGTACGCATCGCCCCATAGCCTGGGGCAGTGGAGGGTGGGGTGGGGGGCTAGGTGGGGCTTTGAGGTTGGGAAGCAAATAGGAGCATGGAGAGTGAGTGGCAGAGGTAAGGAGCGGGAGAAGCGGGAAGAGGGAGTGAAGGGACGAGGTACGAGGGAAGAGAGGACGCGAATGTATGCCCTCCTGACACGTGGGTCCCACACACACCTAACTCCCTTCACCTCCCCACAACCCTGAATCATTAGCCAGCCCAGGCCTCATAACCATCTCACCCCTCTCCCGCTCCTTACCCCACATTCCCTGCACTCTTCACACCTTCTCACCCCTTCCACATCTCACACACCTCCTCACCCCCTTCACCTCCTCACCCCCTTCACCTCCTCACCCCCTTCACCTCCTCACCCCCTTCACCTCGCCACAACCTTAAATCATCAGCCCGCCCAGGCCTCATAACCCTCTCACTGGCCACGTGTAAAAAGAGTATTTTTGAGACGTCTCAAAAACACAACCTTAAATCATCAGCCCGCCCAGGCCTCATAACCCTCTCACTGGCGACCTTCAGGAGCCATGCGCCCACCCCACATTCCCTGCACCCTCCCCTCCTCCCTTTCCCCTTCCCCCTGTGCCTTCCCCGTCCCGTTCCCCTTCCCTTCAACGTTTCCCATCCCCTTTCCCCTTCCCCCCCTTCCCCCCTTCCCCTTCCCCTCACACGCACGTGGCCGCACGCGCCTCAAGCTTCATCTGGCTGTCGCAGCTGGCGTTGAGATGAACCACAGGGTCGGTCGAGGCAGGCAGGCGATTGTGGCCCTGCCTTTCCTTTTTGAGTCGACTCAAAGGTCAGCCCCTTCACCCCTTTCCCCCTCACACGCACGTGGCAGCACGGGCTTCAAGCTTCATCTGGCTGTCGCAGCTGGCATTGAGATGAACCACAGGTTCGGTCGAGGCAGCCTTTTGAGTCGACTCAGAAGTTAGCCATTCCCCTTCCCACTTCCCCTTCCTCCCCCCTTTCCCCCTTCTACAACTTACTTAGCAGCACGCGCCTCAAACTTCATCTGGCTGTCGCAGCTGACGTTGAGATACACCACAGGGTCGGCCAAGGCAGCCTTGTGAGTCGATAAAAAATCATCTATTCCTTTCCTTCCCCATCCTCCTACAACTTACTTAGCAGCACGCGCCTCAAGCTTCATCTGGCTGTCGCAGCTGGCGTTGAGATGCACCACAGGGTCGCCCGAGGCAACGAGGCGATTGTGGCCCACTTTGTCAGAGGAGAGAGGGGGCATGGTGCTGCTGGCTGTCATATCCGAGACCACGCGCTCACAGTCGGGATTCACTATGGGGAAGAAGTAGCAACCCCACGCCCCACCTGTCTTTGTGGCTGGGAAAGACAAGGGGAAGGGGAGTGGGGAGTGGGAGTGGGGAGCACGGAGGGCATGGTGCTGCTGGCTGTCATACCCGATACCACGCGCTCACATTCGGGATTCACTATGGGGAAGAAGTAGCAACCCCACGCCCCGCCCGTGCTGGTGGCTGGGGGAAAGGAAGGGGGGAGGGGGAGCGGGGGGGCATGGGGGTGGTGGGTGGGAAATGGGGAGTGGGTGTGAGAAATGGAGGCGGTTGAGCATGGTAGGACAAGGAAGAGGTTGAGCTCACAATTGAGACAAGTTGGTTTCTGCGGATTCTCAAGAACAACCTGGTCGCAGGCGCGCACAAAAGCAGGCTGAGTATAAGCTGGGCGTACCTGCAACCTCACAATTGTATGTCTTGATAAGCTGGGCGTGGCACTCACAATTGCATGTCTCGGTGTGGGCACGAATATTGAGGCGCCTCAACAAATCCAGGCGGGCTTAGTACAAACAAGCTACACGTAGAGCTCACAATTGCATGTCTCAGTGAATGCTCGGTCGTACGAGCCAGGCGCGGGCACGAGTGTGCGGTTGTGAATCAAGGCCAGGCTCAGGAAAGTGCTCATCACGTGTATCTGATGGTGCCGGTGGGTGGGTGCAAGGGAGGGAGGCGGGAGAGAAGGGAATGTGCGGTTGTGACTCAAGGCCAGGCTCAGGAAAGTGCTCATCACGTGTATCTGATGGGTAATGATGGGGGTAATGATGCAAGGGAGGCAAGCAGGAGAGAAGGGAGTTTGCGGTTGTGACTCAAGGCCAGGCTCAGAAACGTGCTCATCACGTGTATCTGGTGGGCATTGATGGGGGTAATGATGGGGGTAACGATGGGGGTAATGATGGCAAAAAAGGCCTGGCTCAGAAACGTGCTCATCACGTGTATCTGGTGGTGCCGGTGGGTGGGTGGGTGCAAGAAACGGAGGGAGGAAACCCACTGACCAGTGAGGGAGCCCCTCCCACCTGCGAGCACCCCGACTCTCGTTAGCAAGCCCCCCAATACCCACCTAGCAGCCAAAATCACTCTTTCTTTCCGACTCTCACAGTCCCTCCCGTAAGCCCCGCCCTCTTCTACCTGCGAGCTGGTGCCTCCACAGATTCCGACTTTTGAGACGTCTTAAAAGTCGCCCTCTCCCACCTGTGAGCCCACGCCGTGGTGGGTCTTGGTGGGCCACGGCACGACGAGCAGGCGCCTGCCGTCGCAGCTGCCGTGGAACAGCTGGTGCTCCCACAGATCCCTCTGCATCACCCGCGTCAGCGGTAGATTGTCTGCATCCGATCCGCGCACCTGGTTGGTTGGGGGGAAGGCAGGCGCGAGGGGAGGTGGGGAGAGCCGTGGGGAGAGAGAGATTGGGAGGAGGCGGGGGAAGCAGCTGGTGCTCCCACAGGTCCCGCTGTGCCACTCGCGTCAGCGGTAGATTGTCCGCATCGGACCCGCGCACCTGGTTGGGGGGAAGGCAGGCGCGAGGGGAGGTGGGGTGGGGAGAGACATGGAAGAGAAAATGGCAGGGGAAACAGCTGGTGCTCCCACCACAGGTCCCGCTGCACCACGCGCGTCAGCGGTAGATTGCCCGCATCGGACCCGCACACCTGGGGGTTGGGAGGGGGTGGGCAGGGGATGGTGATGAGTAGTTGGAGAGGAAATCTACTAATTGCCTTCCCTACACCATTGTCTCGCTTACACCCTAGTCTATGTGGTGCCATAGTAGCCATAGTACCCATGGTGGTTGGGGGTTGCATTCCGAGCAGTTATTCACAGCCCGCGCCCACAGGGGAGGCTCCCCGTCCCCTCCGCGTCGCTCCGACTCCTTCCTCGCCGTCGTCAGCGCCTCGCAGTCCTCCAGGTGCGGCGCGCGCGGCACGATGGCCGGCAAGGTGATTTTCGCGGGCGGCAAGTGAACGTCGGGTTTCAATCCATAGGCCTCCTCCCATATCTGACGGATCAGAAAAGACGGGGTGCGAAGGGAATGGAAGCGTGAGGGGAAGGGAATGGGAGCGTGCGGGCGGCATGTGGACGTCGGGTTTCAGCCCGTACGCGTCCTCCCATATCTGAGGGATCAAGACGAAGGGTGTGAGGAGATGAGTTGAGGGGAGAAGAGAGCGTGACGCGAGGACGGAGTAGCGCGGAGCGCGGAGAGCGGCGCGAGGAGCTGTGTGCAGACGGGAGCGAGCGAGCCGGAACTCACGCGGAAAAGAGACATGGCTCGCTCGATACCCGCCTCGCCGCCGATCTGCCCACGTGGCATGACGTCGGGCATCTGCGCCATGACGGACGGCTGCGATGCGCCGCGGAGCAAGAGGAGCGAGACGACGATAACAGCGAGAGACATGGTGGTGCGGCGCGGTGTTCGCCGGAAATTAACGGAAGGCCTAATGGAATTCGTAAGTGACCATGATATACAGCAGCACCGTCAGAGGGAGACTTCTCGTCACCTCACCACCACTCCCTGGCTCGATTCTCACAACCTGCGAGGTAATTCGCACAGGGGAATTGGTGCAGACAAACAGAACCGTCCCACGAAGAATCCCGTGTGATCGTGAGCAGGATGAGTGACAGGTTTGTTTTTCGTCAATGTATTTAGCCTTCTCAATCGCCTTGTGATCGCAAAAAGAAATCGTCAGTAGTAGTCAGCGTAATACGGTAGAGAACGGTAAAGAGTTCAGTGGAACGACAGCCAAACATTGACGTTGATCCTAAAGCTGATTGTCACTTCCGCGACTAAGGGCCCATTCGTAGCCGGTGTCAGACATCAGGTCAGACCCGAAGTGGAAGCTCGGAAGACCCGAAGTGGCTCGTTTGTGAGGCAAATCCGAGTTCGGATGAGCCAAATTGGAGACTAACGTTTGTAAGGGCTTTTGACCTGAATTCTGACACGGGCCACGAATGCACCCTAACGTACAATCGGGAGACAATGCTTGTGTGGTTCTGTGGCTGCCTGAACTTCACCAAGGTTTGTTTTCTCCACAGCCAGAGGAAAGGTTTGTTTTCGTTTCATTTCCTTTCGTATTCGTCTACCACGCAAAGTCACTTAGTCGTAAAGAACAAAGATACTTATACATCTGATTACAGAGCTACATTACAAATAACTTCTAAGATCCCCTAAGTGTCAACCACCGCATCTGCAGTGCGGATCCACAGCTTGTCTTTCTTGGTTCTTAGTCGTCTTGTCTTTCTTGGTACTTGGTCTAGGGCCATTCGTTCGGGGTCTGTCTGGGAGGGAGGGGACTTATTTACAACAGGGCAGAAAGGAGGGGGGACGGTTAAGATTATATACACCCTGTTTCTCGATGTTTGAACAATCGGGAGCCCCGGCTACAGTGCGCACGTATGCTTGGATTCAGCGGGCTGGTGCTTGCAACCGAAATGCACTTTAGGAGAACGGTAGACAACGGTTTATGAAAAAAACGTGCTTTTGAGTTCGGTTTCGTGCGGCAAAAGTGCTTACACGGTATGTTCTGGGACCAATTTGGACGCATTGATGTCAGTACAACCGGCTTATCAATATGGCGAATGTCAGTGTGGCGCGAAACAGGGTGTACAAGGCAGCGAGTTCCCGCCATGTTGACCACCGTAAGGAAGAGAGGGAAGATCAAAGACAACCCTAACCAAACCCAACCACGCCCAACCACACCTGACCGTCCGAACCTAACGTCCTAGCTAGTTCGAGCCTAGGTCTAGACTAGACCGCAACCAGATCCGAGCCTAGCTAAGGCTAACTCGTCCCCTAGCTAGGCCTAATTCGAGCCTAACGATCTGACTAACGCTCCTAAACGTTCTGACTAACGCTCCTAACGTAGACCTAACCACCCAGGGAGCCAGGGCCCAGACCCACTTACACGACTGGTTGCTCCAAGCTTGCCGCTCCAAGCTCCTTGCTCCATCGAGGCGCGCGGCTTCCCTCTCCGCGCTCTTCGCCTGCTCACACTCCTGCCACAAACCAAAACCAAGGGAGAACGTTAGTGTTTTGATAAGGAAGAACGAAATTGAAATTGACGGAACTTACTAGGAAAAGGGAGACCACTCAGTTTATCCCCTTGCTCGCCGCCAGCTCCCCATGGAGCTCCTTCTGCACAAAGACAGAACACAAGAGAGGAACTTAGTAAAACGTAAACGAAAATACAGCTGAAATTGACAGAACTTCCCGGTAGAGGGAGATGCCCCGTGTACCTCCCCCGCCCACTCCAGGTGTTGCTCCTGCTCCTGCTCACGGAAGGGCAAGGAAAAAAACATTAGGTAACAGATCTCGCTAAAGGGCAAAAACAGAAGACTGATGACCGGAAACGAGGTAAACACTGACGGAATTTACCAGCAGAGCCGAACCATTCCGTCACCCCCTTGCTCGCCGTCAGCTCCGAGTCCCGCTCCTTCTGCACCAAGACAGAACACAAAGAATACTTAGTACAGTAAAACGTAAACAGAACACTAACTGAAACTGACGATACTTACAGAGAGAGGGAGAGCTCTCCGCGTGGTACCTCCCCAGCCCGCTCCAGGTGTTGCCTGCGCTCCTCCTCCGCCCGCTCCTGCGCGAAAGACACCAACTCGAAGTTAGAAATCTCGAAATAGAAGAAACGAAAGATAGCAGACCATGCTTACCAGGACAAGGAGAGTGATTCTTCTTCCTCCCGCTGTTGCCACGTGCTGCTCCTCATCCCGCTCCTGCTTCACAAGCCACGAAACTCGAAGTTAGAAATCTCGAAAAAGAAGTAACGAACGAAATAAGACCGTGCTTACCAGGAGAAGGAGAGCGTTCTCTTCTTCTTTACCTTCACGCTGTTGCCACGCGTTCCTCCCGCTCCTGGTTCACAAGAGGCACGAAACTCGAAGTTCGAAATCTCGAAAGAAGAAAAAGCGAACGGAATCGGACCGTGCTTACCAGGATAGGGAAAGCGTTCATTTCTTCTTGACCTCCCTTGTCGCCAGCTCCCATCCCGCTCCTTCTGCACTAAGACAGAGAACACACAAGAATAAATTACTAAATCGTAAATAACATACTAGCTGAAATTGACGAGACTTACGAAGAGAGGGAGAGATCTCCCGGTGTTCCTTCTTGCTCGTCGCCAGCCTTCCATCCCGCTCCTTCTGCATTAAAACAGAGAACACACAAGAATAAGTTAGTAAAACGTAAAATACGTACTAGCTGAAATCGACGATAGTTACCAAGAGAGGGAGAGCTCTCCGCGTCTTCCTTCTTGGTCGTCGCCAGCTCCCCATCCCGCTCCTTCTGCACTAAGACAGAGAACACACAAGAATAAGTTAGTAAACCGTAAAGAACATACTAGCTGAAATTGACGATACTTACAAAGAGAAGGAGAAATCTTCCCGTGTTCCTTCTTGGTCGTCGCCAGCCTTCCATCCCGCTCCTTCTGCATTAAGACAGAGAACACACAAGAGGAAGTTAGTAAAACGTTAAGGAGATTCTAGCTGAAATTGACGATAGTTACCAAGAGAGAGAGAGCTCTTCCTGTGTTCCTTCTTGGTCGTCGCCAGCTCCCCATCCCGCTCCTTCTGCATTAAGACAGAAAACACACAAGAGGAAGTTAGTAAAACGTAAAGAAAATACTAGCTGAGATTGACGATAGTTACCAAGAGAGGGAGAGCTCTCCGCGTCTTCCTTCTTGGTCGTCGCCAGCTCCCCATCCCGCTCCTTCTGCACTAAGACAAAGAACACACAAGAATAAGTTAGTAAAACGTAAAGAACATACTAGCTGAAATTGACGATACTTACAAAGAGGAGGAGAAATCTCCCCTTGTTCCGTCTTGGTCGTCGCCAGCTCCCCATCCCGCTCCTTCTGCATCAAGACAGAGAACACACAAGAGGAAGTTAGTAAAACGTAAAGGAAATTCTAGCTGAAAGTGACGATAGTTACCAAGAGAGAGAGAGCTCTTCCCGTGTTCCTTCTTGGTCGTCGCCAGCTCCCCATCCCGCTCCTTCTGCATAAAGACAGAGAACACACACGAGGAAGTTAGTAAAACGTAAAGAAAGTTATAGCTGAAATTGACGATACTTACCAAGAGAGGGAGAGCTCTCCGCGTGTTCCTTCTTGGTCGTCGCCAGCTCCCCATCCCGCTCCTTCTGCATAGACAGAGAACACACAAGAGAAAGTTAGTAAACCGTAAAGACAATTCTAGCTGAAATTGACGATAGTTACCAAGAGAGGGAGAGCTCTCCCCGTGAGACTCCCTTGGTCGCTGCCAGCTCCCATCCCGCTCCTTCTGCACTAAGACAGAGAACACACAAGAGATAATTAGTAAACGAAAGCATAACTAGCTGAAATTGACGAGACTTACCAGGAGAGGGAGACCAGTCCGTTAACCCCCTTGCTCGCCGCCAGCTTCCATCCCGCTCCTTCTGCACTAAGACAGAAAACACAAAAGAGCAAGTTAGTAAAACGTAAAGAAAATACAAGCTGAAATTGACGATACTTACCAAGAGAAGGACGAAGATCGTCTCCTTGCGGCGACGAAGATGTCGCAGTAGACAAGGATCTGCCGGAGCAGTAGGCGACTTTGTCGCAGTGATGTCCACTTTGGCGAAGATGTCCTTGCGATTGCCGCCATGCGACGGAAGAAGCGCATCGTTGCGTCGAGGCGAAGCAGTAGGCCGCGTCACGACGAGGCACGACCTCGGCTTGACTTCCGATAAAGATTGGTCGAAAAGCGCCAAGGCGGTGTCCTGCAGGAAGAAGGAAAATCCGTTAGAGTTTATCCAGTAAAACCTTATGAAGAATGAGAAAACAGTTGCAAAATACGAGAGAAACAGTTGCGGAAGTTGCAAAAGAGCTACTTACGTCCACTTGGAAGAGATGACAATCCCATCTCCTTCGCCTTGGTAGCTGCGCCGGAGTAAACGCCAACAGAGACGGGGAAAGCGCCATTGAAGATCGTCTTGAGAAGATCTCGAGGCGAAGACTTCCCGATGATAATCGCGGTGGAAGATATTGCGGTGGTCAACTTGCCGTAAAAATCACCCAGGGTTCTCGCGATCTTGACGGTGGAGTTCTTGACAGGGAGTTCTCGCCATAGGGAGTTTCTCACGATGTAGTTCTCGCCGCGAAGAACAGGGCGTAGTACAAGGTTCCGGCCAAGGCTTGCAAGCAGCTCTCTAGACTCTCTACCACCCACCCCACCCACGACTCTAGACTCTACGCTAACTATAACGCCTACGCGAACCTACGCGGACTCTAAGACGCGCTGCTGCTTGCCTTGGCCTTTCCCTTGTACTAGCTCGGGTGGCTTCATGATGTAGCTTAGACTGCTCAATAGAGATTTTCGCATGAATTCCACAGGTAGAGCTCATTGAGACGGAACTCATGGAGACGGAGCTTACGGCGACGGAGCTCTTCTAAAACGTTCTTTCCACGAAATAATTGGGAAGGTTGAAATCCGAGAATGAAGTTGACAATAGGAAGTTGTAGTGCGCTGATGGAAGGAAAGGGGCGATCGAACAAGGTGGTTGGAAGGAGGAGAGTGTCGATAGAGACGACGCGGGTCGGAAACTTCTGGGTGCGGTGCGGGCTGCGCAAGCGGAGCGGCGCGTCTCAAAATGTTTGCGGTGCGGCGATGCAGGTTCGGAAAGTTGCCGTTGGCGGTGGGGCGTGGCGCAACGCGGTGCGGACCTTCGTTGCTGCTAGTTACAGGAATATGCTGAACGGATGGTGGAGATGATAGCCACCACCGATGAATATTGGTCACCATAGAGATGTGATGTGATGTGATGGCCGCCGCCACCATAGAATTTCCCCGCCTAGGAAATGTCGAAGAACATTTTCCATGGGGACTTTCAACGCGACTGAATGTGCATGTGGACTCATCCCAAAGCTTTTGTGTGTTTTGGCGAATCTCAGCCGCGCGATGCGATCAAGCGCGGGGCCTCTGATATGGTGCATTGGTGCCGTTAGAATAGCAAGCTAGGTTGCGAAATAGTGAAACGAGTGGCGGAGATGATGGCCGCCGCTGATGAATGGTGACGACTTGGAGTGGTGTTTCGTTGGAGGCTGTGGTGTGGTGTCTGGCGCCGCCAAAGATAATTCCGCCTAGAAAGAATATGTCAGAAAGCGTTCCCAATGAACTCAAAATTCGAGGCGGAAAGGGCAGAATCCGAATTGCTCAACGGAAGTCAACGCTGGAAAATAGGTTTGGGAAAGCAGCGAAAATAGGTTCGGAAACCTCCCCTAAACCCTGCTATCCCGAAACCAGCAGGAGTGCTTCAAAAACTGGCCCCAGTTTGTGAAGGCTTCTTTGTAATTCGGGGGCTGGGCTTTCAAACTCATCCCAACGCGACCCGGCATCCCTCGACTAATTTCAAATGTACAGTACAGTTCAGAGGGTGGTTGGTAAACTTACGTTGGTTTCAGACTGAATATAAGCGGATCTGCTGAGGACGCGTACTGCTGTGGTGTGGTTTGACGGGCACTCTGATATCGGGTACAATTGGTTTGGGTGAGGGGCAGGAAATTATTTTTCTAGGAGGTGGTGTGACGTGGCACAAGTATTTTACATCTATAGACCGACTATGAATTCGCGAAAAAATGTGCGTGACGTGCGGGATTGCATTGAAATCGCAACAAGATTTGTGAACGGAAGGTTCAGGTGCTCTCGCGGTTCATTTTGTTCCTTGCGAACTTGATCGGGGCAGATGATTTGGCAACGGGTGATCGAGGAAAAAATATGCGAGCCAATAGGATTGGGGGGTGTTTCCCGCTATCATCCGTCATCTTCCAGCTCACCCCTTCCAGCTCACCCCTTCCAGCTCATCACCGAGTTCTTGGTGTTCTCACCAGGAAGATCGAATTCCACTTTCTTCTTGTTCATTTCACCGATTAGCGCGAATACCTAGACTCTTGTTGCTGTAGTCTCTGTCAGTCGTGCTATCGGTCGCGCTTCAGTGTTAGCGCTTTGAACTCCTAGTATCTGAAGCCGCTTCCCACGTCTAATAGCTGCACGAGTGCTGAGGCGAAATAAGCAGCGAGTAGGCGTAAGATCCAACAATTTCTAGGTTACGTACAGCGGGAGGAATAGTAGCAACGATTGGACGAATTGATAGTGTCGATTATAATTTAGTCATTTGATAAGCGTCGACTTGAGAGCGCATTGGCATTGCGGCCTCAGTCGATCTCGTTAGGCAGGCGAAGCGCAGGCGCTCTAGTCTGAACCGTTGCGCAAGACATTTAAAAACGGGGCAGGGCGGGTAAAGGAGAAAGAAGGTCCAAGAGCACGTTACACGATCTCGCGAACCTTGGATTTCGGCGAGCAGGTTACATGTTCTCGCAAATGTCAAAATTCCATGCCGTGAAACCCCTCCCCTTCCCCCCTCTTCATCTTTCCTCTCACATCTCCCCTTCCCTCTCTCCTCATCTCCCCGTCTCCCCCGCTCTTTCCTCATTCGCCCAGTAAAAAAAAGCCTCCCCCTCCCCCCCCCCCACCCCACACCCCACCCCCTCCCCCCGCCCGTCTAACCTTCATCCCCCCTCCCACCCCTTCTCCTACCCACCTTCCATCTCCCCTCCCCACTCACCCCACAATTCCCGCCTTCCCTCCTTTGGCTTGAGCGCGAGGCAGCACGGGCCATCCTTCTAGGAGTCACCGAGGTGTACCCTTTGGAACCCCTTCCCCCTCACTTCCCCCTCCGCATTCCTCCCCCCCGTGTCTCCCCTCCCCACTCACCCCACATCTCCCCCCTTCCCTCCTTTGGCTTGAGCGTGCGGCAGCACGGGACATCCTTCTTGGAGTAACCAAGGTGTACCCTTTGGAACGCCTTCCCCCTCCGCACTCCTCCCCCCCTTGTCTCCCCTCCGCACTCACCCCTCATCTCCCCCACTCCCCTCCTTTGGTATGAGCTTGGAGCAGCAGGGGATCTTGGGGGAGTGATTGAGGGGCACTCATGGGACCCCCTTTCCCCTCTGCCCTCCCCCTCCCTTGGCTCCCCTAATCCACTCCTCACCTCCCCTCCCCCTCTCTACTTTGGCATGAGAGCCAAGCGGCATGGCATGGGACAGCCTTCTTAGAGTTTCCGAGGTCCATCCCAGGGCCTCCCTTTTCTGTTTCAATTCGAGTGTACATGTGTGTGATACCATAATCAAAGTTTGTGCAAGGATGTATCATGTAACACGTGTTCTGTGTATGCCGCTTGTTTTGTATAATATTTTATTGCAGGAAAGGGCACAAACAATGGTTAATGCCTTTCAGGTTTTGACATGGCAATTCTTGGAGAATTAACACTTCTGTTTCCAAGCATTTATTGAAGTTGCTGGGGTCAAGCCACGGGTGTTAGAGCATCACTTGAAATACAGCATCAGCAACTTCAAACAAACAAATACCGTACCAATGACCACACCACGACATCAGCACCAATGTATGCTGCTTGAGCTTCCACCAATCCTATAGACCATCGGTAAACTCTGTGATTCCACTTAGCAACTCAGCTCAACTGCTGTTGCCAGTAATGACCCGGGCTTGGACTGGACGCTCCTCAGAAAACGCAGTCAGTCAGCTCAGCACAGACTTTCCAAAAAATCATTGCAAGCGTTCTCGACTTGGGCCTCAAACAAACCGCGAGGAGGAATCGCGACGCGACTTGCATCTCCTTCACTCCACGATTCCTCTCAGCATCTCAGCTGCTGCTGCCAAGGCATCACATACACCACCCCACCCCCCTCCCATGCTGTCACACCCTCTCCCTGACAGCAAATCACCCACTCCTTCTGCCGCTGTGCCCAAGCTGCTTCCCACACACTCCTTCCAAGAAGCTTCCCATCCAGAAACATCACTATGAGTATTCTCTTCCTCCTCTTCCTCCTCCTCTTTCTCCTCCTCCCCATTTTCATCGTCATCATTACCATCGCAGTTACTTTCAGCCACATCAGCATCCCGCCTGACAACATCAGCAGCCTTATCCGCCAGCTCAGCAAGTGCAATGCTGAGTAGGACGCACTGCTGGCAGCAGTGCAGCAGCAGAGCCTGTGCTCCTCCCAACGCAGCCAGCCTTGATTCCTGCTTGTGAGGCACCTCAACACTTGTTTTCTGTGCAGCACGAGCGTTCTCAACACATGCCTCAGAGCTCCCCATGCCCAGCTGTGCTGCTTGCTGCCCGTTGATAGCCCCAGCAGCAGCAGCAGCAGCAGCAGCAGCAGCAGCAGCAGCAGCAGCAGCAGCAGCAGCAGCAGCAATAGAAGACCCTTCCGCATTAGCACAAGCAGCAGCAGCAGCAGCAGCAGCGCCCGCAGCACTATCGCCAGCAGTATCAGCAGCGCCAGCCTCATTATTGCCACTAGCAGCACGGCTACTTTGGCGTTGCGGGGAGGAGCAAGGAGACGCAGGGAGGGGGAGCGAAGCAGCTTGCACCAGCAGTGCTCGGAGCAGCCGAACCAAGCCTGCAACCACCCGAGCCTGTGACCGAACCAAGCCCCCAACGACCTGAACGTGCACTGGGTCCACCCCTACACCTTCCAACCCTGCTGTATCCATCCCCACTCCATCAACTGCCTCTCTCACCCGCGCTACTTCAGACGCCAGAATGTCAAAGAGGCGAGGCAGAACGAGAGCCATCACCTCCCAACCGCTCTCCACCACTCCGGTGCCCCTTCCGTTCCTCATCCCAGCATCAGTCACACCTGCAGCTTCAGCAACATTGGCAGAGGCTGTAGCATTGGCTGTAGCGTTGGCAGCGGCTGTAGCATTAGCAGTCGCTGAAGCATTGGCAGCACCTGTAGCAGCAAGAGTAATCCGCCCCTCCACATCCGTCCCTTGCACCTGGGCTCCTGCTGCCACCCCTCCTGCTGTTCTCACCCGCCCAGCTGTGTCCTGCCCAATTCCTTCACCCTGATCCAGCATCCGTCTCTGCTCCTCTTGCTTCACCCTCTGCAAACCTCCCGTTTCCTCGCCTTCCTTCCTCCCACACTCACTCCCTCTGCTTCCGCTCCTCCCCTCCTCTCCACTCAAACCACTCCCCTCCTCCATCCCTTTCCCAGCAGCCCAGTCACACAGCAAACCCAGCACTTCTATCACACCACATGCACTCCTGTACCCATCCCCCACGGCCCTCCTCTCCCTCCCACACGCAGCCTTGAACCTCCTCGCCCCACCCCCACTGTCCCCTTTATAAGCTTTCTGCGTGTTATACAGTTGCATTGTGCAGTGGGGTTGAGAGGCAGTGGCTTTTAAGAGGGAGCACAGGACGTCTAACAGAATCTCAGCGAAAGCAGCAGCAGATACCAATGCTGCGTGCTTATTATCACTCAGTGTCCCGGAAATTGTGACTGTAATGAGAGGTGCGGGTGCCAGAGGGAGGGGTTGTTGCATTGGTGGTGACTGTAGCAGGACGTGCTTATCCAGCAGTTGCGATGGGAGGGGGAGGAGGAGGAGCAGAATAAGTTTCACTACCGCCTTTACCACCCTTACCCTCTCGTTATAGTCACCTTTCACTCTGCCCGCTTCCCATGCTGCCAGCAACGACAGGAGCCGTGGCAGCAAATGGGAGAAGGACACATGGCGGTCTGTGAGAGGGGCAGTAGAAGCAACCAGAATCTTAATGGTTGCTAGTGCTGAAGCTATGATGCTTCCCGCTGCCACAGCTGTTGCTGCCTGTGATGATGCTGCCACTGGCGCTGCAGCTGCTGCTTCTGTTCCTGATGGCTTCTGTTTCCATCTTTCCACGACTAAATGAGACAGGTCAACTGTTACGTTTGGAGGAAATGCAGCGCCCATCACCAGACTCCACTCCCTCACCCACAAGCCCTGCTCACGTTTGTCCGTCTCAGATTCCTCCCCTTCACCACCCTCACCATGCACCAGCGTTCTCCTTCCGGACAGGACCCCTTGCCGCACTGGTGGGGCCCGCACTTGTGCAGCTTGGTCTGATCTGCCCTCATGTGCTACTTCTCCCATCCGCTTCCTGTCATTCTCACCACCACCACCACCACCACCACCATCGTCAGCATCACCATCCCCATCCCCATGACCATCCCCAGCAGCATCACCCATTTCAGAATCTTCCAACTTTTTTCCCTGCCTCCCTCCTCTTCTCCTCCTCGCGCTCCTTCTCAAGCCCCCAGCATCTGAAACATCGGGAGCAGGAACCGCAGCAGCAGCAGCCTCAGTAGCAACAACGGCATCTGGGGCATCAACCGCAGGAGCAGGCGGGAGATCAGCACGGGCAGCAGAAGATGCAGCGGTTGCAGCAGCAGAGGAAGCAGCAGAGAGCAGAAGAGAGCGGCAGGTGTGGTCCACTCGAAGCAGAACGGAGAGGGCTTGCCACGCCTGCAGGCGAGCGGGCTGAAGGAGGGGGCGAGGGGTGGAATGCAAAGGAGGAGGAAGCAAAAGAGGGCAGAATTTAAGTTCAGAGAGAGCAGAAGGGAGCGGCATGTGTGGTCAATTCGAAGCAGAATGGAGAGGGCTTGCCACGCTTGCAGGCGAGATGGCTGGAAAGGGATAAAGGCGTTACCTGGGATACAGGTGTTACCTGGGATACAGGTGTTACCTGGGATACAGGTGTTATCTGGGATACAGGTGTTACCTGAGGTACAGAAGCTTGCGAGCAGGCGGAATCCAGCAGCGTTGAGAAGAAGTGGTGAGGCGAGTCGATGCCAATCAGGAGCTGGTGTGATTGAGAGGGCAGCAAAGGAAGAGATGGGGACAGGAAAAGGGTGATGCAGTGAGAGGAATGGAGAAGAGGGAGGGAGAGAAGAAGTGGTGAGGCGAGTCGATGCCAATCAGGAGCTGGTGTGATTGAGAGGGCAGCAAAGAAGAGAAAGACGGGAGCAGGGGGAAGAGATGGGTGAGTACACGAGAGGAGGGAGGGGGGGAGATGGGGAACGAACGGGAAGATCGCTGAGACACACTGATAGAAAGACATTGCGCAGATCCCATGCACAAATGGCTTTTGAGACGCCTCAATGGAGCTTCCATGCACAGATGCCCAGCTTGCTGCCAGCACGTCTCATGCGTGAATAAGGTTGATAATCTCTATTACTCACATTCGAGAAGCCATCTTGCAGTTGCCGCTGCACATCTGCGCACCTCCCATCCCCACCCTCTCCCCCTCCCCACACCTCCTCTCCACCTCTCCATCCCAGCGCAGCCGCTGATCCCCTTGAAGCGTCAGTGGAAAGAAGACATGCCATGCCAGGACTGTGCGCCTGTGCGTGTGTGGCAGTGTGACAGTGCATGTTTGCATCTGGGGCTGTGTTCCTTGCAATGTAAGGGAGGCAGAGAGTGGAACGGGACGACGCATAGACGGGAAGGCAGCGAGTGGCAGTGGCAGCTGCAACAATGGCTAGGGGGGAGTGAGCAGCAGTGGGCGCTGCAACCAGGGATAGAAAGTCTTGAGGACAGTGCGCTATCAGCTGCGATGCCACAAACCGGCTGTGCTCTGCTGAATCACGCATCAAGGGCCTTGACTCATCGAAGCCGCATGCTGAGTCACTGCGGTCATGCGCTGAGTCAGCACCTGCCTCATCGCTGTCAACTTCCATCACTGCCACGTCATCATTCCCCTGCTTCCTTCCACTTGCTTGCTTCCCCTCACCCTCTCTCCTTTCCAGCCTCTGCTCCTCCTGCCTCTTCTCCGATCTCTCTCCCATGCTCGCTGTACCGTACCTGCCAAATCTCCAGGTACCCCCAACAGGCAGTGATCTGTCACACTTAGCTAAGTGCGAGGTAGGAGATGGGGAGGGCATTCGGCCGTTCCACACTCTCTGCAGGGCACTGTGCAAAGATGCCATGTCACGGTCTGATGCTGCGCCAGCAACGGCTCCAGAGGCCCCAGCAGCAGCAACCCCCTTAGCACCAGCAGCAGCACCAGACGCAGCACGAGCAGCCTGATTAGCGACAGTGACACCAGTTGCAGGGCCAGAATCAACTCGAGCAGCACCAGCAGCAGCATCACAAGCAGCAGCACGGCGTGCCTCTTCTGTGTTGCCTGCGTTTCCCACCATGCCTTTCACATCCTTCCCATTTGACTGCTCCAAAATCTCGACACGATCCTCCTGCACACGTGGCTCCCTAGAGATGGTCGTTGTAGAAACAGAAAAAAAAAAAACAAAACGAATCAAAACAGATGAACGGAATACGGAAAAGGAGGCTGCGACAAGGAAGCGACAAGTCCCCATGTGTCTCGTCCACCCCAAGGTCTCAAACGTCCCATTCCTTCCCAATCTCACCTCTCTGTCCCAGCCTTTGCCATCTTTTCTTTCAACTCCCTCGCTTCGGCCTCTGCTGCTTGGCGCCTTCGCTCCTCCTCCTCTCGCTGCTTGCGAGTCTGCTCCATCTCCTCTTCCTGCAAGTATCCGCACATCCACATTCCCGCATGTCCATGCATAAGGCAAATGAACGGAAAGAGGGGATGGAACGAGGTTTTGAGAGTTCCGTGAAGGCTCAGCATTTTGAACATGCTCCAACTCCTCTTACTGAGCGATTCCGCATATCCCGAAAACGAATCAACGAGGCGGACTAGAGTGCCATACCTTTTGCTTTGGCACTCCCTTCCTAAGAAAGATTGAAGAAATTTTCGAATAAGGGAGTGATTGAATGAGCAACTGAACCTGTCTACCTGAGGAGGATGTCATTTAAGCTAAGTAGCCGCTTAAAGGAAAAGGTCAAGGCACAGCAGGGGGTGATTTGCACATCTTACTTTGAACAAGAGCTCGGCTGTAAGACGCTCGATCTCAATGTCTTTGCTATCCATCTGAAGATAAGTGAGAATAAGTGAAGATGACATGAAGTACATGTGAAAGAGGCGGGGCCAATGAAATGACGGTTGGTGGGTAACTAAGCGAGCAAGTGAAGCTGCAAGGTTGGTGAAAAGGGTAAAGAACCACGAGGCATAAGGACAGGCATGACATTGGGGGTTCACAGATGGAAAGCAAGTGAGTTCCAGAAAATCAGACTTAAGAAAGCCCAATCCCAAAACCCAATAGCAATGACAGCAAACCTGGGCATTGTCTTGGCCTGGAGCAGCGGCAGCAGAATACGAATCTCGCTGATGAAGGCACTTCAGCTGTTTCTCTGCCTGCGCGAACAGCAGTAGCAAGCAGAAAAATTAACACGCAGGATGCTAGCAGAAGGCAGAGCAGAAAGGCACTAGGTCGTACACGAAGCAAGAAGACATTGCTTTAACCCGACAACTGATCCAGTAGTAAGCGAGAATTCTTTCGTCAGAAAACAAAAACTGACAAACTGTTCTCACCTCTTGAAGCTTCGCCAGCAGACCCTCCATCGCTGCTTCCTTCTCCCTCAACCTCTCCTTCAGACTTTCAGCTGCCTCCTCCGCCCCATCTTCCTCTCCTTGGCGCCTTTCTTTGTGCTCATCTCCGGCTTTGTACTGTTCCCCAACGGCTTGGTACTGTTCATCCATGCCTTGATAGTGTTCATTCAAGGATTGCTTCTGGCGCTTGACAGCTGGCGCCTTGCCATTCGCCGATTCCCATCCCCCATGGCTGCTCCCTGGCTCCTGCATACTCCTCCTTTGAAAGCCACCAGATTCAGTAACGCCAGGAGCAGGAGCAGTGGCAGCAGCAGGAGCAGCAGGGGGAGGGAAGGCAGAGGCGGGAAGGGGAGAAGGAGGCGTTGGGGGAACAGGGGGGGCGGATGGGATGGTGGGTGGGGGTGGGGCGATGGGGGATGCTGCGAAGCCTGGTGCTGGGAAGAGGGCACCGAACCTGCGGTCTCCCTTCGCTCGCCCGTAGACAGCTGGAGGGGGGGCTGAAGGGTTGGTCCGAACCATTGACGCAGGCCTGGAAGGTGCAGCTCCGGAAGACAGGCTGGGTTGTTGGGCATGCAGAGAGTGTTGAGCAGATAGGGCATGGGAAAAAGCAGGTCCTTGGTTGATCTTGTGATGTGTCTCGTTATTGGGCCACGCAGTGCCATTCTGATAAGGAGGATAGATGCTGGATTCTTGATTGCGGTTTTCAGTAGTTGGAGCCTGTTGCTGCATTGGTGGTGGCTGTTGCTGGTTGTGCTGCTGCTGGTGAAAATGAGGGGTTTGCAGCTGTTTTTGGTCATGATGATAGGGGTGCTGATGTTGCTGATATGGTTTCGCCTGGTGAGGCTGCTGTAGTGAACTCCACTGATGCTCCTGCTGCTGCTGAAGCTGCTGGTTCTGATTCAATAGATGCGAGTTCTGCTGCGGATGCTGTTGGTGCTGCTGGTGCTGCGGGTGTTGTTGATGCTGTTGATGCTGCTGGTACGGATGATGCTGATGATGCTGCTGGTGCTGATTATGCTTCTGGTGCTGCTGCTGCTGGCCGTCCTTCGCCGCCTTTTCCGCCTCCGCCTTCATCACGAGCTCCAACGCGTCGGCCATGACATCAGGACCCCACTCATCGTCGTCACCCATCATTTCGAACTTGACGAACAAATCCGTTACGATTTTAGCCAAACAACGTTTAAGCGCGGTCAGAAACAGGAGAACGCCTGATGGAGACGTGAAAATCGCACGGAGCCGATCGGATAAGTCGATTCTAGACTGATGGTCTGTCACTGAACAGCGGCGTCAGGACAGCTCGACGAATGAAACGCTTCGACCGCCCAAGCTTAGAACCTACGAATGACTGACGGCGGAGCGCGTCTAAAGACGAAGCTTCGAAACTCAATCTCAAGCCAGAACAAGGCGTGACGATGACACTATCCTCACTGATTAGGTCTAGTAACCTCGGACGATACCCGAGGGATTTGTGTGGCTTGTCACTGACGCTAACCTCGGGAAATGCTCGCAGGGCCCGTTCAGCCAATTGAAGTTGCAAAATTATGAAAACCAACTCCATTGAAATTTTTCGGAGGGAAGAGATTTTCTTCCAGCAATTGGTCCATTTCCCCGCGTGTACAGCTCCTTACGTGCCCGAGCTAGAAGGGGTGAGCCTTGAAATTGGTGCCTCGGAATCGCCCGCTGTAAGGCCGATCTTTTTTAGCGAGTTCCTTACTACGTATTGTGCTTTTAAAAACATTGGCGCCAGCAAAACAAAATGTCAAACATTTGAGAAAGATGAGTTCTTGGAATGATGGACAATTACAACGACCTCAGACTTCAGTGAGCATATAAAGCACTCGTTACTGCAAACGAGCAACCAATACAGATATCGAATGCAGGTTCAATGCACACTTGTCCAGCTTCAAAGAGCACCTGTAAGCCTCTCGAAGCACTCCCACAGACTCCTCTCCACGTCTCCCAACCCCTAAGCCTGCTGCACTTGTACCTTCACCCGCCTTCCTCCCACCGAGGGATGAGCCGGAAGATGCCAGAGCAAGGCCCAGCAAGGCCTTCAGGTGTGACTGTACGAGATGGCACAGCCTCTCAGCCGTGTGACTGTAGAGAGGGGACGCCTTGTCGTGAGCTTGCTTTGAGTGCTCCGTGGTTTTGGAATCGGGAACCGGGGAGGGAGAGGGGCCTGGGGGTGGTGATAGCGCGGCCTGCACTGCCATGAGGTGTCTCAGAGCCGCGAGGTGACTCTGGTGGGGTACAGGGGCGAGGGGAGAGGAGCGACAAGGGAAGAGAAGAGAGCGCAGGGAATAAGGTTACCGTATTTGGTTGGGGGAAACTGGGGCGTGGAGAAAGTTGACTTGTCAGGCTCAGACACTAAAAACAACCATGCCTGACACTGCTGCTGCTGCTGTTGCTGCCGTTGCTCCCCAAAGCAAAGGAGGCCAGCCCACTCCATGCATGTAGTCACACACAGGTCCGGATGTGCACCCGCTTGATAGAAGCACACTGCCTTGCGCCAGTGCACCCTTTTTAAAGCATACCTGCCACTGCTGCTGCTTCTGCCCGCCCAGACCCAACCAAACGTTAGCCCCCCCTCTCCATGCATATAGTCACAAACATGTTGGCGAAAGCACGCCCATACTACACCCTCTATACAATCATACCTGCCACTGCTGCTGCTTCTGCCCGCCCAGACCAGACGCTAGCCCCGCCCTCTCCATGCATATAGTCACAAACATGTCCGGATGCGCTTCCGCTCGATAGAAGCACACTGCCTTGTGCCAGTGCACCTCTGCTAACGCTGCCAGGCGCTTCTGCTGCTGCTGCTGCTGCTGCTGCTGCTGCTGCCAATCCGCCACACCCCCTGCTGCTGATCCTCCTGCAGCAGCAGCAGCAGCAGCAGCACGAAGGGCACAATCCCTGTGGTAACCAGCAAGATGGAAGTGAGCAAAGGCAGCTTCTTGCTGTCTGCTCGCCCCTAGAGACTCATACAGAATCAGGGCCTTACTCAAGGCATCCTTCGCCGAAACATACCCTCGCACCTCCCACTCCCACTCATTCCCCTCCCCTGCCCCCCCTCCGCCTTCCTCCCTCACCCCATCCCCATCCCCATCCCCTCTCTCATTCTCCACCCTCCCTCCACCGAACCAACTGGAACTATCCGCATTCTCTTTCCTGTTCCCAGCAGGGACCATTGGGAGGCCCAGGCGTTCCGCAGCGGCCATAAGCATGCCGACTCTTAGGTAAGTGTGGGCGAATTGCAGGTTCACCTCGCTCCACACCACCCCATATGCCCGTGCTGCTGCTGACTCACTCTCAACCCCCACGCCACCCTTACCTCGTCCTCCTCCTACTCCTACTCCCCCTGCTCCTCCTGCTCCTCCCGCTACGTCCGTACTCCCATCGGCAGCACCATCGGCCTTACCTTCCCCCACACTCCTCATCAGCTCCCTGCGAGCATCCCCATACCACCCCAACGCCCGCATATACCGCTGCCTCGCTCTCTCAAACTTGCCCGAGAACCCAGCACCAGCACCAGTACCAGCACCAGCACCAGCACCAGCGGAACCACTTTCACCGCCGTTAACATTCGTTGCGGCATCCCCAGCACCAAAAGCAACAGGCGCCCCAGCAGCAGGAGCAGCAGCAGCAGCAGAAGAAGCAGCATTACTAAAGCCCACGCCAGAAGCACCTGCTTGCTCAGAGAGCATGAGAACAGGAGCAGCAATCACCTCAGCATCTGCCCGTTCCCCATGGCCCAGATTGCAGAGCACGAGAGCAGCATTGGGAGCATCTCCCGCTTCCCAGAATGCCTCTGCTGCCGCCACCAGCGCTGCCCGTGCTGCTGCTATGGTGGCGTGTGGGGGTGTGGGAGGTGGAGGAGGAGATGAGGCAGAGGAAGAGGAGGAAGAGGAGGAGGGAGAGGAGGAGGAAGGGGAGTTGAGAAGCCACCGGCCGCGCTCGTTGCAGGCCCATCCGCGTTTCCTCATAACCGCCTGCTTGCTTGTCGCGTCGTGATTGGCCGAGAACGCAGCCGCTGCCCGGGAGTAAAACTCGGCTGCTGATTGGTAGTTGGCGTTCGGGTCGAGCACGAACGGTCGGCCAAAACAACGACTCTTCCAGCTGGTTGCAGCGCAGGCGGCTTGGGGAAGGGCTGATGGTGCTGCTGATGCTGATTCACCGTTGTCTCGTCGTGCTCGTTCATTCAAGCAGCTACAACCGCCCCTCCCACACACGCTACAAACAGCATGTGCTACAGCTGCTACTGCTTCTGCTGCCCCTGCTGCTGCCCTTGCTGCCTCCCCAGCCGCGACCCTTTCGCCTGTTGCCCCGTGACCACTGCCCTCCCTCTGCCTCCTTTTCTTCCTCACCCGTCTCACCTCCCTTGCCACCTCCTCTTCTATCCTCAGCTCTGCACTCCCAGATGCCTCTCCCTCTGCAGCCACTGCTGCAGCCCGCACAGCCACACTGCCTTCTTCCCTTCTCCCCTCGCCCAACCTCGCACCACCAACCCTTGCCCCTTGCTTTGGGTCACCGAGTCTCGCCTCTTGCTTCGAATCACCGAGCCTTGCTGCTTGCTCAGGCTCCGACCCTGTTCCGACCCTAGTCTCTAGGTCCACATACAAATCTCCTACCAGTTCCCACAGCTCACCCCAAAAGCTCCTTCCACTCACACGCCTGCACAACCACATGCTACCCTCCCACCCTGCAGATTCTCCCCCTCCCGCCAACATCCCTGCTGCTGCTGCTGCTGCTGCTCCTCTGCTCACTCCCACCCCCACCCCTTTTGGCCTTCCAGATTCAGAAACACGGATCTGCCTCTCATTCTTGCGTGCTGACTGGCTGGGCTTTGAAGAGTCCTTCGTTTTAGCCCCACCGAGAGATTGTGTGACTTTAAGCGGTGTGACTGTACGTGACGCAGTGTAAACACGAAGCACAGGGGCGTCAGACGTGGAGCAGCCAGAATCGGACAGCCTCAGCCTGTCTTCCACCCTCATCTCCCTTACGGGCTGACTCGCTACATGTAAAGCATTTCCTCCTTCCGCCCCTCTTTCGCCCTTCTTCTGCTTCCTATCTTTCCCTTTCGCTTTCTTCCTCCCACCTCTCGCCCCCCTAACCTCTTGCACCCCCCTCTCCGCTCTCTCCCCTTCCTGCTCGCCACCAGTCTTCATTCCATTCCCCTCACCTCCAACCCCCCATCCCTCCAATCCCCGAAACCTACCCTCCTCCCCTTCATCCCGCCTCCCATCCTCTCCCTCTCCTCCCACTCCTCCCTCTCCCCCCTCCTCCCCTTCCCCTTCCAAGCCTAGATCCTCCAAGTCCCACGGCCAACCCCCCACAACCACACACGCCAGCTCAGCAGCTCTTAAAGCCCGCCCCACCTGCCCATTCCCCTTATAAGCTTCTGCTAGGCCCAGATATGCCTCTCCTAGAAGCGCTATCAGCTTGCAGATACGCCGATCGGTAACCGCAGTGGTACGGCTGGTAACCGCACTGCTAGTGGTAACCGCATCACCACTGGTTAGGCCTCCAGCAGCAGCAGAACCAGCAGAGGCAGCAGAGGCAGCGCCAACACTGCTGCAGGTGCTACCTAGGGAGCAAAAAGAATGTGCGTCGTCATCCCCCTCCCTCCCTTCCTCCTCCCCCCACTCCTGCCCTCTCTCCCCCGTTACCCCCACCTCCTCCTCCATCTTCCCCCTCTGCTGCCCTCCCCTTCCCTTCACCCCCTTCCGCCCCTTCCCCCTGCTCCTCCTCCTCTCCTCCTCAACCACTCCAAACGCCCTCCCATCCCCGTAAACCGCACCAGACCCTTGGGAAAGGCAGCAGGATTCCCCACAGAGACACATACCGGAAGCAGAGTAGTTTCTGAGGCTGTGGAGGAGGGATAGAGGGGGGTTCATTAAGCTCTCCTGGGTGTGAGTCAGCAGGTGCCGCTGCCACCTCAGCGCGCCGATCGCTTGCGTGGCATGCCAGACGGATGCCAGGCGGACTGCCACTGCGCTCTCTGCATCGTCGACAGCAGGGGGAGGGGAACGGGCTGGCAGCGGCGGTTGTGATTTTGGTGCTGCTTGTGAATCTGTCGCTGCTTCTTCTGCACCTGCTGTTTCTTCTGCCCCTGCAGCTGCTTCTGCTCCTGCCGCTTTTGCCTCTGCTGCTGCTTCTGCCCCTGTTCCTGTGTGCGCTACGGCACTCTCCGCGTCTCCCACTGTAGTGCGCGGAGGGGGCAAAATTGCGGATATTGGTGAAGCTGCAGTTGCTGTGGCTTCTGGTTCTGCTGCTGCTGCTGCTTCTTGTTCTGCTTCAGCTGCTGCTCCTGGCTCAGTCGCTGCCACAACCTTTGATTCCTGTGCTACCGATTCATTTGCTGCAGTTGCACCCGATTCCTGTGCTACTGCTGCCCCTGATTCCTTTTCTACAGTTGCACCTGATTCCTGTGCTACAGCTGCCCCTGTTTCCTTTTCTACAGTGGCACCCAGTTTCTGTGCTACAGCTGCCCCTAACCCATGCGCTGCTTGCGAGCTGATCGTGAGCTGCTGGCTCGTTGGTAAAACGGGAATCACAGCCAGCTGCTGATTGGCTTGGGGAATTACAGCCAGCTGCTGATTGGCTTCGGAAATCACAGCCAAGGGTTGGTCAGCTCTTGGAATGACAGCTAAGTGTGCGTTGTTTGTGGGAACGATGGCCAAACGTTGAGAGCCCACAGCTGCAGGAGCAGCTGCAGCATCAGCACTAGCAGGATCAGCAGCAGCAGGAGTAGCAGGATCAGCAGCAGCAGCAGGAGAAGCAGGATCAGCAGCAGCAGCAGGAGTAGCAGGATCAGCAGCAGCAGCATCTTTGGGATAAGTGATAGCGAGGCAAGAGGATGGGGTGAGAGCAGAAGGAGATACGGAGGAAGGGGTGGAGAAGGGTAAAAGATTAGACGGTGGCAGATGGGAGGGTAAGAACGTGACTGGTTGGAGAAAGGGGAGGTGGAGTGAGGAGGGATGGGGGAGTGACGGTTGGAGAGAGGGATGGAGGAGGGAGGAAGGGGGGATGGGAGGGTGTGGGGGGGCGGTATGGGGAGTTGATGAGAGGAGGAAGGGAGGGTGGGGAAGCCGTGGTTGTGGCAGGAGGGGGGAGTGGAGGTGCGAGGGTTGGAGGAGAGATGGAAGCTCGTTCTGAGGGATTTGCAGGAAGAAGCGCGCCATGTACTCGTGGGCTGTTGCTCGAAGACCCTGGAGGGGAAACGGAGATTAGAAGAGGAATGGAGGGAGGTAGAGAAACAATGATACGCTGCACCGCCCGCTCATACGCTGCACCGCCCGCTCATACGCTGCACCGCCCGCTCATACGCTGCACCGCCCGCTCGTACGCTGCACCGCCCGCTCGTACGCTGCACCGCCCGCTCGTACGCTGCACCGCCCGCTCGTACGCTGCACCGCCCGCTCGTACGCTGCACCGCCCGCTCGTACGCTGCACCGCCCGCTCGTACGCTGCACCGCCCGCTCGTACGCTGCACCGCCCGCTCGTACGCTGCACCGCCCGCTCGTGCGCTGCACCGCCCGCTCATACGCTGCACCGCCCGCTCATACGCTGCACCGCCCGCTCATACGCTGCACCGCCCGCTCATACGCTGCACCGCCCGCTCATACGCTGCACCGCCCGCTCATACGCTGCACCGCCCGCTCATACGCTGCACCGCCCGCTCATACGCTGCACCGCCCGCTCATACGCTGCACCGCCCGCTCATACGCTGCACCGCCCGCTCATACGCTGCACCGCCCGCTCATACGCTGCACCGCCCGCTCATACGCTGCACCGCCCGCTCATACGCTGCACCGCCCGCTCATACGCTGCACCGCCCGCTCATACGCTGCACCGCCCGCTCATACGCTGCACCGCCCGCTCATACGCTGCACCGCCCGCTCATACGCTGCACCGCCCGCTCATACGCTGCACCGCCCGCTCATACGCTGCACCGCCCGCTCATACGCTGCCCGCCCGCTCGTACGCTGCCCGCCCGCTCGTACGTTGCACCGCCCGCTCCTACGTTGCACCGCCCGCTCATACGCTGCACCGCCCGCTCATACCCTACACCGCCCGCTCATACGCTGCACCGCCCGCTCATACGCTGCACCGCCCGCTCATACGCTGCACCGCCCGCTCGTACGCTGCACCGCCCGCTCGTACGCTGCACCGCCCGCTCGTACGCTGCACCGCCCGCTCGTACGCTGCACCGCCCGCTCGTACGCTGCACCGCCCGCTCGTACGCTGCACCGCCCGCTCGTACGCTGCACCGCCCGCTCATACGCTGCACCGCCCGCTCGTACGCTGCACCGCCCGCTCGTACGCTGCACCGCCCGCTCCTACGCTGCACCGCCCGCTCGTACGCTGCACCGCCCGCTCGTACGCTGCACCGCCCGCTCGTACGCTGCACCGCCCGCTCGTACGCTGCACCGCCCGCTCATACGCTGCACCGCCCGCTCATACGCTGCACCGCCCGCTCATACGCTGCACCGCCCGCTCATACGCTGCACCGCCCGCTCATACGCTGTACGCTGCACCGCCCGCTCGTACGCTGCACCGCCCGCTCGTACGCTGCACCGCCCGCTCGTACGCTGCACCGCCCGCTCGTACGCTGCACCGCCCGCTCGTACGCTGCACCGCCCGCTCGTACGCTGCACCGCCCGCTCGTACGCTGCACCGCCCGCTCATACGCTGCACCGCCCGCTCATACGCTGCACCGCCCGCTCATACGCTGCACCGCCCGCTCATACGCTGCACCGCCCGCTCATACGCTGCACCGCCCGCTCATACGCTGCACCGCCCACTCATACGCTGCACCGCCCGCTCATACGCTGCACCGCCCGCTCATACGCTGCACCGCCCGCTCATACGCTGCACCGCCCGCTCATACGCTGCACCGCACGCTCATACGCTGCACCGCACGCTCGTACGCTGCACCGCCCGCTCGTACGCTGCACCGCCCGCTCATACGCTGCACCGCCCGCTCATACGCTGCACCGCCCGCTCATACGCTGCACCGCCCGCTCATACGCTGCACCGCCCGCTCATACGCTGCACCGCCCGCTCGTACGCTGCACCTCCCGCTCGTACGCTGCACCGCCCGCTCATACGCTGCACCGCCCGCTCATACGCTGCACCGCCCGCTCATACGCTGCACCGCCCGCTCATACGCTGCACCGCCCGCTCATACGCTGCACCGCCCGCTCATACGCTGCACCGCCCGCTCGTACGCTGCACCGCCCGCTCGTACGCTGCACCGCCCGCTCGTACGCTGCACCGCCCGCTCATACGCTGCACCGCCCGCTCATACGCTGCACCGCCCGCTCATACGCTGCACCGCCCGCTCATACGCTGCACCGCCCGCTCATACGCTGCACCGCCCGCTCATACGCTGCACCGCCCGCTCATACGCTGCACCGCCCGCTCGTACGCTGCACCGCCCGCTCGTACGCTGCACCGCCCGCTCGTACGCTGCACCGCCCGCTCGTACGCTGCACCGCCCGCTCATACGCTGCACCGCCCACTCATACGCTGCACCGCCCGCTCATACGCTGCACCGCCCGCTCATACGCTGCACCGCCCGCTCATACGCTGCACCGCCCGCTCATACGCTGCACCGCCCGCTCATACGCTGCACCGCCCGCTCATACGCTGCACCGCCCGCTCATACGCTGCACCGCCCGCTCATACGCTGCACCGCCCGCTCATACGCTGCCCGCCCGCTCGTACGTTGCACTGCACGGCATATAGGCATGTACACTGGTGGTGCTCACGGGCTGGTGCTCATGAGCTCATGCTCACGGGCTACTCCTCTTGTTCTTACCAGGTTTTCTTTCTGGTGCAGCAGCTGCAGGCAGTAACCAAACAGCTATGCGGTCCTGTGGCGATCCCAGGCACTCGTAATATGGGTTACTAGGAGATGGCAGATGAGTGCTCACCTACTGGTTGGGGCTGCACTTACTGCTCGGGGGGATGGTAGAATGCAGGGGCTTACCGGGTGGTCTTTCTGGTGCAGCAGTTGCAAGCAGTACCCAAACAGCTGGGCTGTCCTGTGCCGATCCCGGGGCACGTGGGAGTCTGAGAGATGAAGGGCTAGGCGGTAGAGCAGCATAGCGAGGGGCAGGGAGAGGTGCGCTGCTACAGCCGGATCGAGAGAAGATAACGGGGAGTTCCCTCCTGCTCGCCCCGCTAGCCCCCCTGCTGCCTCCCCTGCTGTCCCCACTGCTGCCCCCCTTGCTCGTCCCGCTCTTGCCCCTGCTGCCTCTCCTGATGGTTCTCCCAGGGGTGAAGGATGGGTAGCGAGGGATGGGGCGAGGCGGAGCGGTGCAGATGGGTTCTGGAGCGGTGGAGTGAGGTCGAATAGCTGCAGCACGTCAGTGCCTGCATCCTTGCGAAGCTGCACAGAGAGGGAGGAGGGGAGAAACAAGGAAGGGAGGAGAGGAAGAGGAGAGGAGGGGAGGGGAGGGGAATGGGGAAGGGAGGGTAGTGGGAGGGGGGAGGGGAGGGGGGAGAGTGAGAGGGGAGAGAGGTACAGAGGGGTGGAGTAAGTTAAATAGCAGCAGCACGTCCGCGCCTGTGTCACACTGATAGAGCAGCAGCAGGAATCGGAATTCAGACTCACCCAGTAGGTGCCGGGGCTGCGCACGCACTTGTCCTGCAGGAACCCCAGGATGGCGAGCGCGCTGTCCCTCACAGCGTGGGGGTAGAACGACGCCGACCCGTCTCTCGCGAGGCACTTGAGCAGAAACACGTCGTCACAGTGCAGCAGCTCGTAGCCCTGCACGACGCCCTTGTGATGATAGCAGATGGCCAGCTCTGGTACCCCCGCCATCAGGTTATCCAGCCAGATATCCAGCCACACTAGAGGGGAGCTCTGGGGGAACAAGCGGGAGGGAAGGGAGCACATAGCGAAGCCTCTTAGGGCAAAATCCTGCTTCGAAATGGAGTAAAACTGTGGGTTTGAGGGGTCCTGAAGCGCCACTTGAGCAGAAACACGTCGTCACAGTGCAGCAGCTCGTAGCCCTGTACGACGCCCTTGTGATGGTAGCAGATGGCTAATTCCAGCACCCCCGCCATCAGGTTATCGAGCCATATATCGAGCCACACCAAAGGGGAGCTCTGCAAGTGTGTGCAGGAAGAGAAGGAAGCAAGTTAAGATGAAGGCTGACTGCCGCATGCTCCTCATTGCTGAACAGAATCAGATCGCTTCCCAGGAACACGAACACCACAGCGGCAGAACAGGCACGAGTCGCCCACCCACAGAGGGGCGGGGTGGGTGGGGGGTAGCATACCTCATGCTCCACATCAACTAGGTGAACGCTGACTGCCGCATGCTTCTCATTTCTGAACAAAATCAGGTCGCTGTTTTCAGGCACTAGAAGAATCGTCACCTTGAATCAGCAAGAGCATGCCTCATGCTCCACGTCAACGAGGTGAAGGCTCACTGCCGCACGGTTCTGATTTCTGAACAGAATCAAGTCGCTGTTTTGAGGCACTAGAAGAATCGTCACCTTGAATCAGCAAGAACATGCCTCATGCTCCACATCAACTAGGTGAAGGCTCACTGCCGCATGCTTCTCATTTCTGAACAGAATCAAGTCGCTGTTTTGAGGCACTAGAAGAATCGTCACCTTGAATCAGCAAGAACATGCCTCATGCTCCACGTCAACGAGGTGAAGGCTCACTGCCGCATGCTTCTCATTTCTGAACAGAATCAAGTCGCTGTTTTGAGGCACTAGAAGAATCGTCACCTTGAATCAGCAAGAACATGCCTCATGCTCCACGTCAACGAGGTGAAGGCTCACTGCCGCATGCTTCTCATTTCTGAACAGAATCAGGTCGCTTCCCAGCAACACGAACACCACAAGAGCATATAAGACACAACATACCCTGAATCAAAAGGGCGTAAAAACAAAACTTCCTACCTCATGCTCCACGTCGACCAGGTGAAGGCTGACTGCCGCATGCTTCTCTTTACTAAACAGAATCAGGTTGCTGGTCGAGGCACTAGCTAGATTGTCACCTAACGGCAAGAGCATACCTCATGCTCCACGTCAACGAGGTGAAGGCTGACAGCAGCATGCTTCTCATTGCTGAACAGAATCAGGTCGCTGCCAAGAAACAGCCTCAGGTGCTCCAACTGCCAGAACACCACCCGGGCAAACCCGTCCGCCCCTCTCTCTGCCTCCACTCCTCCTCCTCCCCCTCCTCCTGTCTCCATTCGCTTCCCCGCACCTCCTCCTCCTCCTACCCCTGTTTCAATTCGCCTCCCCGCTCCTCCGTTGCTGCCATTATCCAGCCTTCTCTCCCGCTTGCTGCATGGCTTGCCCTTCCCAGCGCCCTCCCAACGCGCATACCCCTCCTCTTGCTCCTGCTCCTTCTCCTCTTCCACTTCCACTTTCACTTCCCCTTGAACGCCTTCAATCTGATTCTTCAAACTACCAGCGCAAGCTGCATCAGTGACAACAGCCTTCTGCAACCCAAACTGCTGCTGCTGCTGCTGCTGCTGCCGGCGCTGTTGCTGTTGCTGCTGACTGCTGTGGTCGCACACTCGCACCACGCCCTCTGCATCCCCGACAAAATCCGTGGTAGTTTTTGGAGGCGCCCCAGAAGTCTGCTGCTGCTGCTGCTGTGGCTGCTGCTGCCGATCCATCTGCTGCTCCTCCTGCTGCTGACTGCTGCGGCCGCACACTCGAACCACGCCTTCCGCGTCCCCGACGAAATCCGCGAACGCTTTTGGCAGAGCAGCAGCGTTAGGCAGACCTTTTCTTGAAACATTGCTGCTGCTGCTACCCCTGCTGGTGCTGTTTTGGTTGCCGCTATTGCGACCACTGCTGCTACTGCTATCAGTACCACCAGAAACTGCAGACGAGCCGATGGCACTGGTGCTGCTGCTCCTGATGCCTCTGCTGGTAGGTCTGCTGCTGGAAGACGCGCCCTGTTGACCGTGTAACTCCGGGGCTACCAGCTTGGAGAGCAGAATCGCCTCGCGTTGCCCTCTGGAGGTCCGTGCGACCTTGTGGGAGTCCACACAGCCAGGCTCAGAGCTGAGAGGAGCATGGGGGAGGTTATGAGAGGAAGAAGGAGAGTGAAAGTCTAAGTTACAAGCTTAAATAGAAGGATTGCCCCCCTTTGCAATCCGGGGGTCCGTGCGACCTTGTGGGAGTCCACACAGCCAGGCTCGGAGCTGAGAGGAGCATGGGAGGGAAGGAGATGAGACAAAGAAGGAGAGTGAAACTCTGGGTTACCAGCTTAAAGAGGAGCACTGCCTCACGCTGCCCTCTGGAGGTCCGTGCGACCTTGTGGGAGTCCACACAGCCAGGCTCGGAGCTGAGAGGAGCACGGGGGGAAAGGGGGAAATAATAAAGCGAAACTCCAGGGTTAGCAGATGCGGAGTTCAGCCTTCTAGTTGGCTTCTGAAGATTCGTGCGACCTTGTGGGAGTCCACACAGCCAGGCTCGGAGCTGAGAGGAGCATGGGGAAAGGGGGAGGTGGGGATGAGTGGAAGAAGGAAAGAGTACAACTCTGCAGCTACCAGCTTAAGAGAAACACTGCAAATTTTGCTGTGCTGATCTCTGGAGGCTCGTGCAACCTTGTGTAAATCCACGAAGCACCCCTCACTCACCCGGGGTTGATCACGAGCGTGCGGCCGACGCGGTGCACGCTGACAAACAGGCTCGCCTTGGTGAAGGGCAGCTTGAAAAGCTGCTTGAGCCCGTCCGCGGGCGCTTTCACGTCCACCTCAGAGTAAGGCTTCACCCAGCAGCATCAATCCTCACTCCCCCTGGGTTGAGGCGCCTCAAACGTAGAACTCACAAGCAGCATCCACTCACCCGGGGTTGAGCACGAGCGTGCAGCCAATGCGGTGCAAGCTGACGAACAGGCTGGCTTTGGAAAACGGCAGCTTGAAGAGCTGCTTGAGCACGTCTGCGGGCGCTATTACGTCCACTGCGTCCTCCCCAAACTCCGCCAGCCCCCTCACCGCCAGCGCCCCATGTCAGCTGGCGCACTCACAGCCACTGAACCTTGAGGTAACATTCACTCACCCTGGTGGGTTCAAGTGCATTAGAAGCCAGCATTCACTCACCCGGGGTTGAGCACGAGCGTGCGGCCAACGCGGTGCACGCTGACAAAGAGGCTCGCCTTGGAAAAGGGCAGTTTAAACAGCTGCTTCAGCACGTCCGCGGGCGCTATCACGTCCACCGCGTCCTCCCCAAACTCCGCCAGCCCCCTCACCGCCAGCGCCTCGCACTTGCGCGCGCCGCTGTGGTGCAGATACGACCCCCCCCAGGTGGAACCTGGAGGGTCCGAGGGACGGTCGACTGGCAGGAGGATGTTGTCCCGGTGCAGCCATGCGGGGGGATGCGTGTCCAGGGACGGTTGGGCTGGGGGAGGGATCACCTTGGGAATGCCGGGAGTCCTGGGGGAGAGGGAAGGGACGAGGGATTGGCTAGGTTAGAAGTGAAAAAACGAGGAGAGACATGATTAACGGCAGATTTGGACAGAAATCTGGGTAGGAATGAAACAGTGTCACCAGTCGCTAATAAAGGCTTTTAGAGAATCCTGGAGCGAACTTCGGAATACCGATACGTAGGAAAAGATTATGTTCAGAGAAATTTATCTTGTGTCGCATAGCTATTCACCTATCGTGGAAGAAAGATCTCGATATCCCCGGAGAGAACTCGAGCGTGGTGAATTCGCGATCGAGCCAGACCGGCAGCGAGCCGCAGAGGAACATGCTGCGAGGCTTCGCCAGCTGCAGACTCGCCACAGGCGGTCCGGTCGAATCCGCCATGACGATTCTTCGTGGCACTTCCTATTTATGCTGGCACTTGACTTTCCCGATGCTCGCTGGAGTTGCAATCATAAGTCAGGAAGGTACTCATGAAGCTGGAACCAGCAACTATCCATGCAATCAACTCTCACAACACGGGCACATACACCATAGATTCAATCTGCGCCTTCTCCCGTCTGAAAGAACAAACGTCACCCTCACGGAAATCAGAAAGTGGAAACTGAAAGCAACGCGTGCTGCAGTCTGCTCTTGATCCGATCATGGTTTGCTCCGTATTGGTTCTTGTGTGGCATTAGTAGCTTGATCCGAGAACGGTTTGCTGCATTTTGTTCGATGGAACCAGCAGATTCGGACAGACCGGGATAGGTTCAGCACGGTTCGCTATGTTTCTGTGAGCTACAGTATGGTGGGGGTTCTGGACGTCCACCTAGATTCTGGAAGCACTTTGCCCAACAGCAACCATTTTCAGTGTCCAAGGTCGCACAAGCGAAAATTCCAGAAGCGAACATTGGCGTTGTTCTGCAGGCGTTTAGGGTTCCGCACCAATTTGACCGCGGTAGCCTTCCGTGCATTTTCAAGGCGCATTCATGCTGGTTGCGTTGCGCGGATGTTGCTGCCTCGCATAACATGTGCGGAGGCTGATGCTAGCTCCCGAGGTAGAATTAGCACCGCACTAGTTGTGCGGCCATTTGCCCGGCGAAGCAACAACTTCGAGCCTGCAGACGGTTAAAACCCGAAGCCTGAATTACAAAAACTGAGTCAACGCTTGGTTTGGTAGGTTTGGGGTTCGGGCAATATGAGGTGCGGCAGAATTGCGAAAGCAAAAAAGTTAGCGAAACATGATGCGACTCTCCCGTGAGTCAATGAGGCGTTATCAGCCAACGCAACCCAACAGTTCGCATACATTCTGCTTACAACCCCAGAGAGCTAGAGCAGGGTAAAAACCTGTGCGACAGAACAAGTGAACAACTCAGACAAGCTTTTTAGGATCCAAGCATCGCGCTCACCAGCCAGGCATATCAAGTGAACACAATTTAGGGACGATCGAATAGAAGATGAAGCGCGGTCATGCAATCGAAGTGAATCGTAGGCGCTGGCTGCGAGTGTGACGCACGTAGAAACGAGATGGCACGGGAGATATTAGCGATTTGCCCACCTCGCTTCCCCCGCCCGTCGCCCTCGCTCTTCCCGCGCACCACCTCCTCCCCGCCCGTCGCCTCGCCTCCTCCCTGCCCGTCGCCTTTGCTTCCTCCGCCCGCCCTCGCTTCTCCCCTCCCGTTGCCCTCGCTTCCCATACCCGCCGCCCTCGCTTCCCCCGCCCGTCGCGTACCGCATCTTCCCCGCCTACCACCCTCGCCTCGCGGGTCGCCATCGCCGCCTCCCCCTCCCGTCGACCTCGCTTTCCCCCTCCCGTCGACCTCGCTTTCCCCCTCCCGTCCACCTCGCTTTCCCCCTCCCGTCGACCTCGCTTTCCCCCTTCCGTCGGCCTCGCTTTCCCCCTCCCGTCGCCCTCGCTTTCCCCCTCCCGTCGCCCTCGTTTTCCCTCCCCATCGCTCGCCGAGTCGACCTCTCCTCTCCCACCTGTCGCTGCGTCAACATTGTTCTCATTCCCGCCGCTGACGTCTTCGTCGAGCGTCCCCTCTTCTTCGCCCTCGCTTCCTTCCTCCGTCGCCCATGCCCATTCCCCTCCCTCGCGCCGACGCCCTGGTTTCCCGCCCCGCCGCCTTCTCTACCCTTCCCAGTGCCCTGGTTTACCACCTCTTTTTTTCCCCACCCAAAGCTTCACTCTCACCCACGTACACTCATGCGAAACAATTACTCCCCTTCCTCCCTTCACTCTGTTCCCCCCTGTTCACTCCCTCCCCCCCCCCTGATCACTCTCTTCCCCCTTGCTCATTCTGTTTCCCCCTTGCTCATTCTGTTTCCCCCTTGCTCATTCTGTTTCCCCCTGCTCACCCTCTTCCCCCCAGTTCGTGGTGTTCCCCCCTGTTCACTCCCTTTCCCCATGCCCACCCTCATCCCCTTGCTCACTCCGCGCTCGCCTGCGGGCCTCATCACGACGTCCGCCCGCCCTCTCACACTCGCCACGCCTCCCCACGCACCCTTCCTCATAAGCCCCTGCTTTCCATTCCCACTCTCAACCCTCATCGCCTCTTTTCCCCTCGAACAACTTCATTTCCCTTTCCCTACCTTTGAACTTCCATGGTATTTTTTCTCACGCCTTCCCTGCAATTCCTCCCCTTCTAACCCAATCCTCCTCCGCCACTCCTCGCCTCTCTCACACTCCTCGCCTCTCTCACACTCCTCGCCTCTCTCACACTCCTCGCCACTCTCACACTCCTCGCCTCTCTCACACTCCCCGCCTCTCTCACACTCCTCGCCTCTCTCACACTCCTCCTCGCCTCTCTCACACTCCCCGCCTCTCTCACACTCCTCGCCTCTCTCACACTCCTCGCCTCTCTCACACCCTCGACGTGCGCAAGGCGCATGCCATCAGCGCACGCCAGGCAGCGGCCAGCGTGGTGGCGCTGTTCGGCGAGTGCAGCACGGACAGGGCTGCTCTCACTATGTTTCTCCCTGCTCGCTCCCTTCCCGCTCCTCACTCTGTTTCCCCCTTGCTCGCTCTGTTTCCTCTCTTCCCCCCTGTTTTTTCTATTCCCCCCTGCTCACTCTCTTCCTCCACTGCTCATTCTCTTCCCCTTGCTGCTCGTTCTGTTTTCCCCTGCTCGCTCTCTTCCCCTTGCTCACTATGTTTCTCCCTGCTCACTATCTTCCCACCTGCTCACTCCCTTTCAACATGTTCTCTCTCTTTCCCCCTGCTCAATTATTTTACCTCTGCTCACTGTCTCCCCTGCACTCTGTTTTTCCCTGCTCATTCTGTTCTTTCCTGCTCACTCCCCTATTCAACCCTTTACCCATGCAGTGTGTCGGTGCCCAGCACCAGCTGTTGGGAGGGAACCACAAGTCCTGGTTTTTTGCTGCTGTATGTGCAGACAAGAGTTGGACAAGACATCACATGGACTAGCTTGTTCTTTTTTACTAGATTGATGCACATTGTAAGTGGTCTACAGTCTCATCATACCTCTGTGGATCAAAATTTAGTATATAATACTAAATATCCAACATTGGCATGTCTATTTGTCATACCTAGTAGTAGTACTACCAACAACCAACATTCCTGAACCAAATGCATAGGGGGGGGGGGGGGGGGGACCTGTACAAACCCAGTTGTGAAAATCAGATGCTCGTGGCTGAAGCAGAACGCATACAAAAGGGTGGGCACTGACACTGACAAACCGGCAGGAAGAAATAAAGAGACACTCACGGATTATTATTATGGTAGGAGACAAACGAGAGGCAGAGATGGGTTGGGGTGGAGATGGGTGGGGCAGAGATGGGTGGGGCGGAATGGGGTGATTTTGAAGGGTGGGGCGGAATGGGGTGACCTTGAGATGGGGTGGGGCGGAGTGGGCCAGGGCGGAGTGGGGTGGGGCGGAGATGGGGGAGAGCGGAGTGGGGTGGGGCGGAGATGGGGGAGAGCGTAGTGGGGTGGGGCGGAGATGGGGGAGAGCGTAGTGGGGTGGGGCGGAGATGGGGGAGAGCGTAGTGGGGTGGGGCGGAGATGGGGGAGAGCGTAGTGGGGTGGGGCGGAGATGGGGGAGAGCGGAGTGGGGTGGGGCGGAACCGCATCTCCCCTCCCCAAAAAGCTTCTTAGTGCTGAAAAGCACAACGGATGAGGGGTGAGGAGGAGATGGGGTGAGGAGGAGATGGGGGTGGGGCGGAATGGGGTGGGGCGGAATGGGGTGGGGCGGATTGGGGTGGGGCGGATTGGGGTGGGGCGGAATGGGGTGAGGCGGAATGGGATGGGGCGGAATGGGGTGGGGCGGAATGGGGTGGGGCGGAATGGGGTGGGGCGGAATGGGGTGGGGCGGAATGGGTTGAAACGGAATGGTGAGGTGAGGGATGGAGAGGGAAGGGATGGGGAGAAGAGGGATGGGGAGAAGAGGGATGGGGAGAAGAGGGATGGGGAGAAGAGGGACGGTAAGTTGAGAGACTGGGAGGTGAGGGATGGGGAGGGAAGGGATGGAGAGGGAAGGGATGGGGAGGCGGGGATGGGGAGGTGAGGGATGGGGAGGGACGGGATGGGGAGATGAGGGATGGGGAGGGAAGGGATGGGGAGATGAGGGATAGGGAGGGAAGGGATGGGGAGATGAGGGATGGGGAGGGAAGGGATGGGGATGGAGCATAGGCGACGGAGGGGAATGAGAGAAGGCGAGGGGCAGGGGGTGAGCCTGGGCGACGGAGGGAAGTGAGCGTGTGCGGAGTACGGGCAGTGAGCGTGGGCGATGGATGGGGGGAGAGCGTGCGTGGTGGGGAGGAGTGAGCGTGGGCGACGGAGGGGACTGTCGCGACAGGAGGGAAGCGAGAGAACGTGGCGGGAGGGAGAGAGCGTGGGCGGCGGAAGGGGAGTTGTCGCGCGCAACGGGAGGGAGTGCGCGCGGACGGAGCTGGGGTGAGGAGGAGACGGGGTGAGGCGGAGATGCGGGAAGGAATAGGCCGTGGCGACGAGCGGGGGTGAGCGTGTGCGACCGAAGGATTGCGCGAAGGCGATGGAATGGGGGTGAGCGTGGGCGACGGAAGTGAATGATCGTGGGCGACGGTACGATTTCCCCCCGCGATCGCGATGGGAAGGGAGTGAGCGTGGGCGACGGGAAGGGCTTGAGCGTGGGCGACGGAAGGGAGTGCGCGCCGGCGACGAAAGGGAGTGTGCGTGACCGTTCGAGGGGAGTGTCTGTGTGCGACGGGAAGGCGTTATCATCCGCGACGGAGGGATGTTCGCGTGCGCAACAGAGGGTTTTGCGTGAAGGAGATGGGAGGGAAGGGAGCGTGCTCGTTCGAGGGAAGAAGCGTGAGGGATGGAGGGGATCGCGTGTGTGTTCCGGAAGGGGTCCGAGTGTGGACGTCGGGGAGAAGAAGCGATGCGGCGAAGCAGGTGGATG